TTTTGGTAGTGTGACATGGTAATTGCCCCATGAACTGCATACCTCAACCATACCTTGGCTTTCCATGAAACTGCTCTCTGTAACCCTAATGTGACAGGCAAGCAGTCCAAACCAATGCCATTTTGGCCCCTGTGCCATTTTAAGAAAAACTAAGACTTGTAATAAGTAACTAAGGTCTGTAATTTTCCAACTTACCCAGACAATGTGTAAACTAATGTTTATCTTGACTTCTGTGAACCACTTAAGTAACAATTGGAATGTCCAAAGCCCCTCACCCTCACTCCCGCCCAGAAGGTGGTTTACGGGCAAAAAAGGTCTTGACATCCTCCTTTCGGGGCCACGGGTTAGAGAGACGCAAGTCCTCCATGGCCGCCGGCAATAAAGACCCTGTAATTTGGCCTAGTCTTTGTCTCAGTGGTGATTTTGCACTCGCTCAGTTACAACAGTAGGGACACAGAGTCAAATTATATTATTCTCCCCCCAGCCCCCCCAATCTCATGTCTTTCTTACACTGCAAAATACAATAAGGCCTTCTCTACACTCCCTCAATATCTTAACTCAAGCCCAAAGTCTCATCTGACACAAGGCTGCAGTCTCTTCTGCCCCTGAGCCTCTGAAATACAAAGCAAGTTAACTACTTACAAGGTACAATGACTGTACAAGCATTGGGTAAGCATTCCCTGTCAAAAGGAAGAAATGTGCCAGACAGAAGCAAAAACACAGATGGGACTTACAAGCCCCATGCAAGTCAAAAACCCAGCAGGCCAGTCATTCAATCCTATGTTAGGGACAAGCTACCTCAGAAAACCCCCTTTGCATGAGCTGACCCCTTCCCCCAACTCTTGATTGCTCTGCAGCTGCAGCTCTGAACTCCTACCTAGGTGCCACATCAAGGCTGCCAGACATGCTATAATTAAGCAAAGCCTGATAACAGCCATTGGGCAACTTGGGGGAGGGCAGGGAAAACAAATGTTTGTTATCCACACTTATAAATTTCTGTTCAACACATTTTTAAAATTGTAAAAATTCTGTTTTTTTTTTTAAACTGCAACCAGAAAAGTCACAGAATTATATACTGTAAGTCTGTTACAAGTTAACAAACTAACTCTTTGCCTGTTACAAGCTGATAGATTATCTTATTCCTGAAACTCCTTTATGCCTCTCTCACCCCATGTAAACCACTCCATTTTAGAGGTTGGGGCTACCTCCTCTGACTGTTATGGGGCATCCTGTCAGGTTAATAAAACATGCTTGCCTGACTTTGCGCCTGTTCTACTTTCCCTCAGCTAACCTTACATTCTACAGCTCCAACATCAGCTTTTTTGAATCTATGTTCCACAATCAGAGCACAGGGTGGTGTGATGGCTCGGCCCCCAAAGCCTTGGGCAGCTGTGCACCTGTGGCTTTGTCGAATTTATTCCCCCAAAGCTGGTCTTATGGGCTGGGCTGATGTTGAGTGCCCGTAGCTTTTCAAAACTGAGAGTGCAAGCTGTTCAGGTGGCTCTGTCAATGTGGGGTCTGGAAAATGGTGCCTCCCTGTGTGGGGGCTCCAACCATATCTGTTCCTCTGTGCTGCTCTAGTAAAGGTTTCCCATGAGGCTCTGCCTCTTGGAAAAGCTTCTGCCTGGACACCCAGGTACTTCTGGACAAACTCTGGAGTCTAGAGGAAGGCTCACAAGCATCTAGTCTCATGTTCTGTGCATCTGCTGGCTTAACACTATGTGGAAGCCACCAAGGCTTGGAACTTAAACCATCTGAAGCAGTGACCAAAGCTGTACCTGCGTATCTTTCAGTCAGGGCTGGAGCTGGAGCTGCAGGTATGCAAGCAGCAGTGTCCTGAGGCTGCTCACAGAAACGAGGCCACCATTCTTCTCTCCTAGGCCTCAGGGCCTGTGACAGCAAGGGCTACTGCAAAGGTCTCTGAAATGCCTTCAAGGCCTTTTTCCCATTGTCTTGGCTATTAGCACTGGGCTCCATTTTATGCAAATTTTCAAAGCCTTTTTGATTTTTTAACTTAAAATCAGCTTTTCTCTTTAACCACTTGGTCAGGCTGTGAATTTCCCAAACTTTTAAGCTCTGCTTCTCATTTATTTTTTATTTTTTAAAGTTTTTTTTTTTTTTTTTTTAAAGATGGGGTTTCACCATATTGGTCAGGCTGGTCTCGAACTCCTGACCTCAGGTGATCCACCCACCTCAGCCTCCCAAAGTGCTGGGATTACAGGCCTGAGCCACCGCGCCTGGCTGCTTCTCATTTAAATAGAAGTTCCAACTTGAGGTTATTTAGTTGGTCACACATAAGTCCACAGGGTGTTTGAGGTAGACAGGACACTTCTTGAGCTTTGATGCCTAGAAGTTCATCCCACCAAATACACCCTAAACTAGCACCCTAAAGTTCAAAGTTTCACAGGTCTCCCTGGCAGGGGCACTGCACAGTCATGTTCTTTGCTAAGGCAAAACAAAAGTAACCTTGGCTCCTGTTCCCAGTAAGTTTCTTATTTTCATCTGAGATCTTCTAAGCTTGGCCTTTACTGTGCATACTTCTGTCAGCCTTTTTTTTTTTTTTTTTTTTTTTTTTTTTTGAGACGGAGTTTCGCTCTTGTTACCCAGGCTGGAGTGTAATGGCGCGATCTCGGCTCACCGCAACCTCCGCCTCCTGGGTTCAGGCAATTCTCCTGCCTCAGCCTCCTGAGTAGCTGGGATTACAGGCACGCGCCACCATGCCCAGCTAATTTTTTGTATTTTTAGTAGAGACGGGGTTTCACCATGTTGACCAGGATGGTCTCGATCTCTTGACCTCGTGATCCACCCGCCTCGGCCTCCCAAAGTGCTGGGATTACAGGCTTGAGCCACCGTGCCCAGTCCCTTCTGCCACTTTTGAATGAGTTTGTTTTTTTCTTGTAAATCTGTTTTAGTTCTTTGTAGATTCTTGATATTAGCCCTTTGTCAGATGGGTAGAATGCAAAAATTTTTCCCATTCTTTTGGTTCCTGGTTCACTCTAATGATGGTTTCTTGCTGTGCGGAAGCTCTGGAGTTTAATTAGATCCCATTTGTCTATTTTGGCTTTTGTTGCTAATGCTTTTGGTGTTTTAGTCATGAAGTTCTTGCCTCTGCCTACGTCCTAAATGGTTTCGCCTAGGTTTTCTTCTAGGGTTTTTATGGTGTTAGGTCTTATGTCTAGATCTTTAATCCATCTGGAGTTAATTTTAGTGTAAGGTGTCAGGAAGGGGTCCAGTTTCTGCTTTCTGCACATGGCTAGCCAGTTTTTCCAACATCATTTATTAAACAAGGAAACATTCCCCCATTGCTTGTTTTTGTCAGATTTGTCAAAGATCAAATGGTTGTAGATGTGTGGCATTGCCTACAGGACCTCTGTTCTGTTCCATTGGTCTATATCTCTATTTTGGTACCAGTACCATGCTGTTTTGATTACTGTAGCCTTGTAGGATAGCTTGAAATCAGGTAGTGTGATGCCTCCAGGTTTGTTCTTTTTGCTTAGGATTTTCTTGGCTATGTAGGCTCTCTTTTGGTTCCATATGAAGTTTAAGGTGGTTCTTTCCAATTCTGTAAAGAAGGTCATTGGTAGCTTGATGGGGATTGCATTTAATCTATAAATTACTTTGGGCAATATGGCCATTTTCATGATATTGATTCTTCCTAACCATGAGCATGGAATGTTTCTCCGTCTCTTTGGGTTCTCTCTTATTTTGTTGAGCAGTGGTTTGTAGTTCTCCTTGAAGAGGTCCTTTACATCCTTTGTTAGTTGTAATCATAGGTATTTTATGCTCTTTGTAGCAACTGTGAATGGGAGTTTGCTCATGATTTGGCTCTCTGTTAGTCTGTTATTGGTATATAGAAATGCTTGTCATTTCTGCACATTGATTTTGTATCCTGAGACTTTGCTGAAGTTGCTTATCAGTTTCAGGAGATTTTGGGCTGAGACGACAGGGTCTTTTAAATATATAATCATGTCATCTGCAAATAGAGACAATTTGACTTCCTCCTTTCCTAACTGAATACCCTTTATTTCTTTTTCTTGCCTGAGTGCTCTGGCTAGAACTTCCAGTATTATATTGAATAGGAGTGGTGAGAGAGGGCATCCTTTTCTGGTGCTGGATTTCAAAGGGAATGCTTCCAGTTTTTTCCCATTCAGTATGATATTGGCTGTAGGTTTGTTGTAAATAGCTTTTATTGTTTTCAGATATGTTCCTTTGATACCTATTTTATTGAGAGTTTTTAGCATAAAGGCTGCTGAATTTTGTCGAAGGCCTTCTCTGCATCTATTGAGATAATCATGTGGTTTTTGTCTTTGGTTCTATTTATGTGGTGGATTATATTTATAGATTTGTGTATGTTGAACCAGCCTTGCATCCCTGGATGAAGCCTACTTGATCATGATGGATAAGCTTTTTGATGTGCTGTTGCAGTCGGTTTGCCAGTAATTTATCAAAGATTTTTGCGTCTATGTTTATCATGGATATTGGCCTGTAGTTTTCTTTTTTTGTTGAGTCTTTGCTGGGTTTTGGTATCAGGATGATGTTGGTCTCATAAAATGATCTGGGAAGGACTCTCTCTTTTTGTATTGTTTGGAATAGTTTCAGAAGTGCTTTAATACCAAAGATGTGTGGGAGCATATCTGTTTTAAGCAATTAAAATTTAAAATTGTTTTAAAGAAACAGTTGTGTTTCCAAGGTACTAAACAAGAAGTTCAAACAAAGTACACGGGGAAGAGAAATGGCTATCAGTGTTGTACAGTTCAACAGGTAACATTTGCTGCTTTCTAAATTGGCTCTACTTGTAAGATTCTGAAGATTCCACTAGAAATACTTGTACATAAAGGGTAATTATGTGAGGAAATAACATCTTAATTTGCTTGACTATAAGAACCACTTCACTATAATTATATTAAAACATCATATTATACTCCTTAAATAATGTAGATTAAGAAAACTAAAATGAACAAAAAAAGCTACAATTATTTGTGTTTAGTAAACCACACATTTCAGGTTTCACCCTTGTACATTTCACCCACTACCTAGAAAAAAAATAGGCATTTGGCACTGAGGAATCATTCAGCAACTCCTGGCAGAGAACTAGATGGCTGGGTTGATGCATAAAAAGAACTAAAGCATCTCTGAAGGCAATTACTTCTAACACTGGTCAAGGCATTTGAAGCAGGGCTTGTTCTTTCTGCCTTCCACACACTCCTCAGGCTGAACGAGGTGTTTTTTAGCCACTTTGGGAATTATACTTGTTTTCATTCCTGTGATAATTATTCCTTATTTCACAAAAATGCCTTTCTGTAACATCTTGAAAATGTTACCCAAATAGTCTGTCTTGAGATACCCTCTAGTGATAACATTAAAGATCATAATCAAACACAGTTCTATGCCTGAGTATCAGGATGTGCCCAGAGTAGCAGTACCATTTGACACTTTGGGTTTAGGTTGTAATCCACCAAAAAAAAAAAAAAAAAAAAAAACCAACTCATTATTTCTATCTAGGGAAATCCTGACAAGTAATTTTATAACTAAATCACTTTATTAATTATAAAGCTTCAAAAACATGTAGTAAAAAAACTAATAGATCATGTTAATTACATGAGGCTTTTCAGGGGAAAAAAGCTATAAAAAAGAAAAAAAAAAAAAGAAAAGAAAATGGAGACAAAAAGTATCCTTGACTAATATTTTAAAGGTAAGATTCCTTATTATTATTTTTCAAAATTACATTGTCAAATTAGCATTCACTTCCTGCTAATCTCCTGAAGCCATCTCACTAAAAATTACACGTTCAAAACAACTTGATGAGCTTATTTTATTTTCTATGAGTGTATGTTTTGACTTACTTCATTAATTTTTTTTGAAATGGAATTGTTAGCTTTTAATCCTAATGCAAAGGCTTCCTTATATTCTTCTAATTCAGTTGTAACCTCTTCATAAGCAGTTTTCATTTTGGAGAGTTTACATTCCAAATCGTTAAGTATGAGTTTCTTCTTATTTAGTGAAGCTGTATTATCCTTGTTTAACTGCTCTAATTGTTTTTCATATTCTGCTTGTTTCTAAAACAAATAAAAAGTATACACTTTTAAAACAATTGTAACCTAATTATCATATATTTGTTGTCTTTCATTTTGAGTCAGTGATTCAGAGAACAATTTTAAATACATTAAAAAAAGACTGAAGGTTAAAATATTTATCAACAATATCAACAAAACTAATAACTGAATTCAGAATTAAGTCTGATTTATAAACATTAAAAATCATTATTATGTTAGTATTAATGTAATCTGGTTATATAAAAAGTAATATAATCCATTTATAATTTTCTTTTTGAGACAAAGTCTAGCTCAGTTGCCAAGCCAAAGCCCAGTGGCGTGATCTCAGCTCACTGCAACCTCTGCCTCCTGGGTTGAAGGGATTGAAGTGATTCTCCTGCCTCAGCCGCCCCAGTAGCTGGGATTACAAGCACGTGGCTCCACGATCAGCTAATTTTTGTATTTTTAGTAGAGATGGAGTTTTGTCATGTTGTCCAGGACAATCTCGATCTACTGACCTCGTGATCCACCAACCTTGGCCTCCCAAAGTGCTGGGATTACAGTTGTGAGCCACATTTATAATTTAAAAACTGAGCAAAGAACAATGTAGCTTAAGACCAATTCAAAAGTATCACATAATTTCTAAATCACAATTTTATCTTATGCCAACTAGTCTTAATAATCAAATGACTCACTACTCTGAAAGGTTGATTTTGTTATAATAACAATAAAGATTTAAATATTTAAAAGGGAGAAGAGATGCCATTTTTTTCCCTAGAAATCTACAAAGCAAAGTGTTATAAGAGATGGAGAGGAAATACAATATATATATATCCAAAATATAATTTGTGGTGAAAGGACTGAAAGCATATTACAGATAAACTTACATGATTTTAAAAACTAACCTGTAAATGGGTTTCTTCTAATTTGTCCATTGCCTGTATTGTTCTTTTTTCTAGCTCCGATGTATATTCTTGTACTTTATCAAGTTCTATCATATTGTTTTTCATATGTGTCTTAAGATTTAGTATTTCTTCTTCTAACATCTTTTTATCTTCCTCAAGTTTTTCACATTCCTGTTGTACTTTTCTCATAGATAATAACTCCTGCTGAATAACTTGATTGTCTTTAGCCAAACTGACATGTTTTGAAGATACAGCTTCCTTCTCTGCTATAAGATCATCAAACTGTATGAATAAAATAATATAGCTTGATAATGAAGTAGGCCGAGAATAATCTGATACAGAACCAATAGCAAATTTTGAAATGCATTTACTTACAATAAAATATTATCTATAATGTAGTAGATTCTTTAAATATGAACCCCTAAATTACTCAGAATTTCAAGAACAAAGGCCACAAAGTTAAGTCACAAAATTATATTCCTTACTATTATAATCTTTGCCATAGAACTTTTGCACTTGATCTTACTTTTACTTTTCTGATAATTTATTTTGTTCCTTTTTAAATGGCACTAAGTTATCTCTTGATAAAAAGTGTCTCACCCCCTTCTCTCATTATCATTTCCCATAATTTGTCAAAAAAGTTTCAGAAATATCGTATTGAATTATTTAGGTTAAAGTCCATAAATTACTCTCAGAATAAAACTTTCAAATTAATATAATACTCTATGCTAAGCATGGTGGCTCATGCCTGTAAACCCAGCACTTTAGGAAGCTGTGGCAGAAAGATCACTTGAGGCCAGGAATTTGAGATCAGCTAGAGCAACATAGTGAGAACTCCGTTTCTACAAAAAAAATTTAAAAATTAGCCAGTCATGGTGGCTTCTGCCTATAGATCCAGCTAGTTGGGAGACTGAGACAAAAGAATGGCTTGTACCCAGATTTCAGGGTTGCAGTGAATTTTGACCACATCACTGCACTTCTGCCTGGATGACAGACAATCACCATATTTCAAAACAACAACAACAAAAATAATGAATCCTGTAAACAAGGATCCTTATGCCATAAGCCTTTCCCTAAACTGAAAATGTTTCATGCTAATTTGAATTGCATTTTAAGAAATAATGATTTTGGGGGTAAAGGCCATAAAATACAGTGCCCAGAAATAAATACATATATTTACAGCCAAACTGATTTTGGACTAAGGTGCCAAGAACATACAATGGGGAAAGAACACTCTCTTCTAATGAATGGCACTGGGAAAACTAAATACCTATATAAAGAAGAATGATACTAGATTTCTATCTAACACCATGTGACAAAATAAATTCAGAATCAATTGAAGACTTAAATGAAAGGCCTAAAACTATCAAACTACTCCAAGTAAACATAGGGAAATGCTTCAGGATGTTAGTCTGCACAAAGATTTTTATGGGTAAGACATCAGAAGCACAGGCAAAAAAAACAGATAGACAAATAGTGCTACATTAAGCTAAAGAGCTTCTTCCCAGCAAACAACTGAGCGAATAGAAAGCCAGTCGAATGGGAGAAAATATTTTCAAGCTAGTCATCTAATAAGGGATTAATATCCAAAATATGCAAAGAACTCAAACACATTGACAGTAAAAAAATAATCTGCGTTTAAATCTGGGCAAAAGAGCTGATTAGCCATTTCTTAAAAAAAAAGAAAGAAATACAAATAGCCAATAAATACCTTTAAAAACGCCTAGTATCACTAATTAGTAATTAAAAATCAAACCTGCAATGTGTTATAATCTTGCTCCAGTTCAAATAAATGGCCATAATTGAAAGGACAAAAAAATAACAAATGCTGGTGAGGTTTCAGAGAACAGTAAACTCTTACATGCTGTTGGTGGGAAAGTAAATTAGTGCAGCCACTATAGAAAACAACAGGAGGTTTTCTCAAAAAACTAGTAATGGAACTGCTGAGGGATCCAGCAACCCCACTACTGGGTATTTAGCCAATAGAAAACAACAGATCAAAAGGGTATCTGTACTCCTATGTTTATTGTCTCACTATTCACAACAGCTAATGTATGGAATCAACCTACATGTCTATCAACAAATGAATGAATAAAAAATTGTGGTACAACTACACAATGGAATATCATTCACCATAAAAAGAAGTGAAATTCTGTTATTTGTGGCCATGTGGATCACTCTGGAGGATGTTATGTTAAGTGCAGACACAGAAAGATATACTGCACATTCTCACTCATGGGTGGGAGCTAAAGAAACATTGAGGGCTGGGCAACATGGCTGATGCCTGTAATTTCCTGGCACTTTGAAAGACCAAGGCAGGATAATCACTTGAGGCTAATGTTCCAGACCAGCCTGAGCAACATAGATAGACGCCTCTACAAAGTAAACAATCAGACAGGAGCGATGGTGACTCCCATAATCCTAGCCGCTCAGAGGCTGAGGTGGGAGGATCACATGAGCCCAAGAGTTTGAGACTGCAGTAAGGTAAGATCAAATCACTGTCTCTAGTCTGGGTGATTATAGTTGCCCAGAGCCCAGACTATACTAGCAAAACCCTGTCTCTTAACAACAACAAAAAACCTCATGATATCTGGTGTTCTGTGGCATTGTAGGGTAAATGTGGTTAACTATGATTTATTGAATTGTTTTTTTAAAAAAAATTTAGAAGATTTTGAATGTTCACAACTCAAATAAAAAATGGTTAAAATAGTAAATATGCTAGTTAGCTTGATCATTAAACACTATATATGTGTGTATCAAAATATCACTCTATAGCCCATAATTATACATATACATGTCAATTAAAAACAAAAGAGAAGCTATATTCATCCCTTTACAAAATACAATATTGGCCAACCTTACTGACTTCCTTCTCATCAATAGAATGCTGTAAAAGGGATACCAGGTGGCTTCTCTATCTTAGACTACTTTTCCTTTGAACTGAACCCCCAGATTGTGAGAAAACTCAGGCCACAAAGACAGCATGGGAGTGCCAGTGTTCATGCTGCCTGCCCCAACCAAGGTTCCAGTCAATGGCCAGCATCAACCATGTGGGTGAGCAAAGCTTCAGAGGATTCCATTTCCCCAACTGATCAGCTGTTCCTAGGGAAGCTGAGGGGAGCAGAGACAAGCTTTCCTGGCCAAGCTTTTTCCAAACCACAGATTCATGAACCAAATTAATTTCTTTTTTCTTTTAAGCCACAGAACTCTGGGTAATTGATAGAAAAATAAGTTTTAAAAAGAGACAAGAGAAAACATAACTTATGCAGCAGAAAAGAGTGTCCTTTAAGTAGGATCTACTAAATGTTGAGATTGATTTATTGATGACAATCATTATTGAGAAGCAGCAGATAACCAGGAGTGAGACATAAGCTGGTGAGGAGGAACTTTTCCTGAAAACCCCTTCAATTATAAACTGATAACAAGGCAAGGGTGTCTCTTTAGAATTTTCCCTTAAGTTAGGAAATAAACTAGGGAGCAAGAAGACATACAATTTAAAAAACAACTAGAAATATTTGGTTACATAACCAAAATAAGACATTTACCTTATCTCTATTAAATAACATTCTAAAAGAAGAAGGTTTGCTGGGCACGGTGGCTCACACCTGTAATCCCAGGACTTTGGGAGGCCGAGGCGGGTGGATCACGAGGTCAAGAGATCGAGACCACCCTGGTCAACATGGTGAAACCCCGTCTCTACTAAAAATACAAAACATTAGCTGGGCATAGTGGCGCGTGCCTGTAATCCCAGCTACTCAGGAGGTTGAGGCAGGAGAATTGCCTGAACCCAGGAGGTGGAGGTTGCAGTGAGCTGAGATTGCACCATTGCACTCCAGCCTGGGTAACAAGAGTGAAACTCCGTCTCAAAAAAAAAAAAAAGAAAGAAAGAAAGAAGGTTTAACGGTTTATTAATCAATCTAGTATTTAATTTTCATTTTCTTTTCCTCAATGAGAAAATAAGGGGAACATTATGGAATTATTTTTAATCTTCAGAGAAGTAAAATAAACACAGTGTGCTTTGAGTATTAAGAAATCCAATGAAATTTCTCCTTTACCTTACTTCAAGCTTGTTTGTACAGAAAAGTTAAGACCATCTCATCACTATGTTATACCGCAATGCTTCTCTATAGCACACACTTTGGCTCTGAAAATTTGAAATTCAAAATACTCATCTACTATTTGTCTCTGATAAATTGCCTAAGCATTACCTGATTATTAAGTGCTGCACTCCTAAAATTTTTCCTTGAAATGAGTTAATTTTTTTTTATTCTAAGAACTCTCTGCTGAGCTAGAAAGCAGAGCTGTGCATCTCTGTTTCAGTAAAAGGAGGTCAATACAGTGAAATGTGGTTTCTGAGGATGCAGGATCTGCACCAAGAAAAGAATTAGCCACAGTGCTACACCAGAGAACCAGCTAGCAGGTGGAAAGAGGATCTGCGAACTAAAACATGATGACTTCACTTGATTTCCACAGAGGAAAGCTGACAGCTCTGACTTAAACTTCTCATTCCTGGATGGTAAACATCTATGGATAATTCTATGAATTATAATCAGTTAGTAAAGCATAATGCACTAAACGGTAGACTATGTCAGCAGATCCTGTGACCAAAATTTACTGAAAATGAAACTAAAGAGGGAGGCACTAGATAAGAGACTAATGTTTCGATGGAGAAAAAAAAAATAAACTCTGTCTTGTAAGCCTGACTTCCCATAATGTCTTAGTGTATGTAAGGTATAAGCTGGCTACAGAATCCTTTGAGACACGAAAGGTGAACTTAAAGTTATCCCACTACATTTTATTTTTATTCTGAGATAAGACAACTTGGTAATATGCAACCTGACTGAAAAAACGTCTCATTAAATTTGATTTAGTCCTGGCATAAGAATACACATAAACAAATAAAAAATTGATAATCTAATAATAAACCTGCATATTTACAGTCAATTGATTTTATACAAGGTTAACAAAAGAACAAAATGGGAAAAGAATAGTCTTTTTGGCAAATGGTGCTGGGACAACTGAGTATTCATATGCAAAAAATAAATGAAGTTGGACTCTCACCACATACCATGTTTAAAAATTAACTCGAATCAGTTAACTGTAACAGCTAAAACTATAAAACTCTCAGAATAAAACACTGACATAAATTTTTGTGACTGCATTTGGCAGTGTTTTCTTAGCTATGACTTCAAAGAAAAAATGGATTCAATGGACTTCAAAATTGAAAACTGCTGAGCCTCAGAAGACACTATCAAGAAGCGAAAAGGCAAGCCACTGGGTAGAAGAAAATATTTGAAAATCATGTATCTGATAAGGGACTTACATATACAGGATATATAAAGAAAAGATAACCCAATTTAAAAAATTGGCAACGATTTTCAATAGATATTTCTGCAAAGAAGATATAAAGATGGATTATAAGCATATTACTAGATGCTTAATGTAATTAGTCATTAGGAAAATGTAAATCAAAACCACCATGTGGTATCACTTGACGCCATAGGATAAAATGTTTGTTCAATTAAAAAAAGAGAAAAAGTGTGTCAGCAAAAATGTAAAGAAATAAAAAATTTTATACAATGCTGCTGGGAATGTAAAGTGGAAGATGCACTTTGAAAAACAAACTGGCAGCTCCTCAAAAGGTGATGCATGAAGTTACCATATCATCCAGAAACTCCAGTCATAAGTATACACTCAAGAAAAATAAAAACATATGCAAGCACAAAAACTCATACATAAATGTTTACAGCAGCATTATTAATAAGAGTCAAAAAGTGGAAAGAATCCAAAGGTCTATCACCTTTGAGTGGAAAAGAACCCAAAGGTCATTCACCTTTGGGTAGGAAAGAACCCAAAAGTCCATTCACCAGATGAATGGACAAATAAAGTGTTTGATGTCTCCATACAATGGAATATTATTCAGCAATAAGAAGAAATTAAGTACAGATACTGATAGAAGCAGGAGACAGCAAAATGCCTAGGCAGATACTGAAGGGTCTCTGGAGAACCTCCAACCAGCCCCTCAAGTGTTTACACCAGAGGTTTTGTGCAGACAAGAGAACCTGCACAGGGTCTTGCCTGGACATGCCAGCAGCAGACTGGAGGCCCACATGCACTGGGGAAATGAGGTGGAGCCACCAGGAATTCACAACTTATGCATGGGAGCCTGGCCTCTTCAGTTCATGTGTGGTGGTCCTGATATTCAACTGTGAGGTGAAAATCTGTTTGCAGGACCCCTTTCTTGGCTGAGAGCTTTCCTTTCACTTAAATTCTGTCCTCCCCATGCTTCAATGGGTCTGCAGCCTAATTTTTCCTGGTCATGAGACAAGAACCCAGATTTAGCTGAGCCAAGAAGCAAAAACTCTGCATCAATATCTGTTACAGCATAGATGCAGCATGGAAACTTTTGCTAAATAAAATAAATCAGTCACAGTAGAATAATTGCTTTTAATTTCAGAGGCTTATAGGCAAATCTATACAAAGAAGGTGGGTGGATCCCTAGGGCTGAGAGAGGAAGGGGAAACTAGTGAAGATGGCTAAGTGATGTGGGGTTTACTTTTCGGGTGATGAAAAGATTTACTTTTGATTTAGGTTCTAAAATGAATTGTAATTATTATTGCATCTCTGAACATACTAAAAGTCAACAAATTGTGTATTTCAAATAAGTGGATTGCATGGTGTGTTAATTATTTCTCAATAAACCTGTTACCCACCCTCAAATTTATTTGGTACTAGTGATCTGGAGACATGTACTGCTTGGTTTCAGATCACTGGTCAAGGCTCCAGAGATAAAATAGACAGTATGTCCTCTTAATAGAAAAAAATATATATATCTTAAAAACTATCCTTTTCATTAGTATCAAGTCTGTAAAATTAAATGAAAATTCAAAAAATCTTTATTTTACTGCTTAAAGCACTGAGAGATTTATAAAAAGGAATAAGACCTTGTCTTCTTTTGCCCCAATTTCTATTTAAAGGGTCTGGGGAATCATACCCTTCAAACTGTAAAATCTCATTAGATGGGTTTTATTAACTCTTATAATGTGGTTTACTTTTTAACCTGATTTTGATACAGCATCACAGACAGCAGAAGCTGAAGGAAATAAAAATCTTTTACCCCAAAATAGATTTCTTTGACATATTTTGAAATGGTTGCCACAGGGCCAGGACCAAGAAATTGAAATGGCCCCATGAAGCTGTCTTCTGTGGGGAAAATTGCATCTGTAAAAAGTCTTCGTTAATGTAGTAGCCCAATCTCTCCCCTTCTAGGTCTTCCCAGATCTAGGGAAGATTAACTAAGAGCCTGATGTATTTAAAGTCTGAAAAGATGTATTTACCCTCTATTTTCTCTGACAACTGCCAGCTATGAGGGTTTGTCTACATAATAAAAACCTTGGCCTCCATAACCACCTTATCTTAATTAAGGCATTCCTTTCTACTGTTTTCAAGTTTTAGACAACAACTTAACTTTCTTTACCAACTGTCACCTGAAGAATCTCTAAAACCCACCTATGACTTGTTAGCCCCTTCTTTTTGATGTCCCACTTTCAGGCTGAACCAATATACGCCTTCTTCATATTGGTTTATGATTTTTCCCTACAGTTAATTTCTCTGCTGGAAATGTACAGAGTCAAACTGTAATGTGACTGTCTCATAAAATATTCTCAGGATCTCTTGAGATTGTGTAACCTAGGGCTGCAGTCACCATATTGGCTCAGAATAAACCTCCTTAACCATATTTTGGCAGAATTTGGATTTTTGAAATTATTAATATTTCCCCAAATTATGTGATTTTTAATCCCAAAACTGATTTAAAATGACCTTATGTTGAAATCTAAATTATTCTATTATAAAGATACATGCATGTACATTTTCACTGCAGCACTATTCATAATAGCGAAGACACGGAATCAACCCAGATGTCCATCAGTGATAGATGCGATAAAGAAAATGTGGTATCTATACACCATGGAATACTATGGAGCCATAAAAATGAATGAGATCATGCTCTTTGCAGGGACATGGATTAAATCAAAGCTGCTATCCTCAGCAAACTAATGCAGGAACAAAAAACAAACACTGCATGTTCTCACTTATAAGTGGGAGCTGAATGATGAGAACACATGGACTCGGGGAGGGGAAGAAAAAATACGATGGTCTGTTGGGGTTGGGAGGGAGAGCATCAAGATCAATAGCTAATGCATGTGGGGCTTTATATCTAGGTGATGGATTGATAGGTGCAGCAAACCATCATGGCACACATTTACCTATGTAACAAACCTGCACATCTTGCACATGTAATTTAGACCTTAAGATAAAATAAAATAAATGTTTTTTAAAAATTACCTTATGTTTTAGCTTATTCATCAGAATATTCATTTTCAGTTGATCTGTTTTTAAGTCTCCGTGGAAACTTAACTCTTCGTTTCCAAATACATTTAACATATTTATTGTCATCTCTAGGAGTTTCTTATATCTGCAGAAATGTACAGAATTAGCAAGTCAAGTATTTTAAGAGTAAATATGTAATAATTGTTTAAACAGGTATTATGGCATATCAGAGAAACGCCTCTATAAACTATGCTCCTCTCAGTTTCAACTGAGTGTAGTTTGAAAACATTCTATATGAAATTATAATCTTAGATTAATAATATGAAGAACAATTTTATGGCATATATGACAGGCAAAGTGATATTATAACCATGCAGTTGTTTTTATTTTATTTTATTTTATTTGAGATGGAATTTCACTCTTGTTGCCAGGCTGTAGTGCAATGGTGCAATCTCGGCTCACTGCAACCTGTGCTTCCTGGGTTCAAGTGATTCTCCTGCCTCAGCCTCCCAAGTAGCTGGGATTACAGGCATCCACCACCACACCCAGCTAATTTTGTAATTTTAAGTAGAGATGGAATTTCATCATGTTGGTCAGACTGGTCTTTAACTCCTGACCTCAAATGATCCATCTGCCTTGGCCTCCCAAAGGGCTGGGATTACAGGCATGAGCGATCATGACTGGCCTAACCATAGAGTTTTTATAAACTATTCATATTAATTTTGGTATGCTAACATGAAATAACCCATTACTAAATATAAGCCATACCCCAGAGATGAGGAACCAATATAAAAAAGTAAAACACATATATGGTTGAAAAAGACCAAAAAATACATTTTGATACCTGTTGACCACAGTTTATAAAAAGAAAAAAAAGTACACACAAAAAGCATCAGGGAGATCATCCAATGTAAGAAAAGAGAAATAAGAAAACATCTTTAATGTCTGAGTTGATGAGAAAAAGAAAACAGGCAGTTTTAGAAAAAAGATGATTTAAAGACTTTGAAGAAGAGAACTAGAAATCTTTGCTGACATGATGTTAATAAAATGAAAGAGATACAAAACCATGTAGAGAAAGACAATGACAGAAAAATGTTGATTAGAATCAGAAAACCAACATAGGTGCTCAGTAAATATATGGAAAAGTAGCTGTGTTGAGGACTTCAAAGACACATTCTGTTTTGTTTTTTTAATCTATGATCAAAACATGACTAGTCAGCCGGGCACGGTGGCTCAAGCCTGTAATCCCAGCGCTTTGGGAGGCTGAGGCGGGTGGATCACAAGGTCGAGAGATCGAGACCATCCTGGTCAACATGGTGAAACCCCGTCTCTACTAAAAATACAAAAAACTAGCTGGGCGTGGTGGTGCGTGCCTGTAATCCCAGCTACTTAGGAGGCTGAGGAAGGAGAATTGCCTGAGCCCAGGAGGCGGAGGTTGCGGTGAGCCGAGATCGCGCCATTGCACTCCAGACTGGGTAACAAGAGCGAAACTCCGTCTCAAAAAAAAAAAAACATGACTAGTCATTTTACTTTTTCTTTAAGTTATAGATATATTTATGTACATATAATTTATTTCTGTAAAACAGAAGTTCGACGACATGTATGCTTCATGTATACAATGGAGGTACTCATGTAAAATGAGTAAATTTATATGTTTTATATTTAAAAGAAAAAAAGCAGAAATAAAATATGAGCTACATATCAAGATAAATTTTGATGTTAAAGAATGCCACAAACACATGGACACAGAAAGGGGAGCATCACATACTGGGGTCTGTTTGTGAGGGTTAGGGAATGGACAGTGGGGAATGGGGAGATTGGGGAGGGGTAACATGGGGAGAAAAGCCAGATATAGGTGACGGGGGGATGGAGGCAGCAACCACCTTGCCATGCATGTACCTATGCAACAATCATACATGACCTGTACATGCACCCCAGAACCTAAAGTAGAAAAAAAAAGAAAGAAGAGAATGCCACAAATAGGTCTTCTTTAAAGACTCTGAATGCAGCAGAGAAGGATACTACAAAAGGAAGAAAAGATGACCAAAGACAGCAAAAAATCTTCAGAAATAAAAATTCGTACTAGATAATGAAGAGTGCAGTTGACATTATGTGTCCAAGGCTTTGTCATTACTGTTTTCAAAATTATTAAAGAATAAGTGTATTATTTTGACATTAAAAAAATTTAAGATTGTGTTGTCAGTTTCTTTTTTTTTCACATATTTTTAATATAATGTTTTTCATTCCAACCTCGCTCCAGCAGCTCAGCTGGCTCCCTCCCTGATGATGCACATACCTATAATGTTGTGAGTTTCTAAAATAAATTTTAAAATAGAATTTGTTTAATTATGAAAATACAGACATAAAATGAATTTGTATCTATGTTTTAGTCAAGTAAAATTTTAGTTAAATCAATTAATAAATGGTTAAAATGTTCTACAATAGGAAAAGCATACCCAGTTCTCTCTTCTTCTAATTCATTATTTTTCTTTCTTATTTGATTCACATTATACTCCAGTGATGATACTAACTCAAAAAGTTTTCTTAATTCTTCATTTAGTCCTTCAGGCTTGAAAAAAAAAAAGGTGTTTAAAATTATTTTTGTAAACTCTAGAGATACTCTTTTATCTCAAAAATACTATTTCTCATACGCTGATGAGTAATATGTATTTAGGCAGGTGTATAAAGTGCATTTTATAAACCTGATGCAAATAAGGACAGATTTCTATAATAGTCACTCTTCTTAAAACAGCTTTAAAAATGATTAATACTTTCATCACGATCTTTTCTGAAATTTAAAGTGCAGAAATTGTTTGTTAAAAATGAAGGTTTTACACATAAAATACTAAGGGTTAGTAAAAAAAAAATTAAAGGTAACTATATTTACATTTTAGTTGTTAAAGACGCTCTAGAAACATTGTCATTAATAGTTTAAGATAATCCAGTTTTGTTAAACTACATCTTACTAAGATTATTTATAGAAAACTCTTAACTACTTCCCATTATATTTTTGATCCTCATCTGTCTTCAGGCTGAGCTAAACACTCTCATTCACTGTAAGTATTCACCCATGGGTTTCAGTTTTTCCTTCTCTTAACCATTTCTACTTAAATAAAGTTTATTTTTTTCTACAGCAAACAAAAACATAACTTTTGTCTACTTTTTGTGGTTTTCTATTACCCTGTTTCTCCCCTTCCACTGGACTCTTTGACACGTGGTCTCATCCAGAGATCTATTTTTCATCACTTATTGTGTTTTTTTAAACTGAAATCTGATTTGTAATAATTCCAATAAAGAAGTCCCAGGGTCATGAAATTCTTTATCCTGCTTTACTCAGCAGCAACTTCGAGCAGTGACCAAATGCACCCTCTGCTCCTCTGACCCCACTTCATTTCTTTTTTTTTTTTTTTTTTTGAGATGGAGTCTCGCTCTTGTTACCCAGGCTGGAGTGCAATGGCGCCATCTCGGCTCATGGCAACCTCCGCCTCCTGGGTTCAGGCAATTCTCCTGCCTCAGCCTCCTGAGTAGCTGGGATTATAGGCACGCACCACCATGCCCAGCTAATTTTTTGTATTTTTAGTAGAGACAGGGTTTCACCATGTTGACCAGGTTGGTCTTGATCTCTCGACCTCGTGATCTACCCGCCTCGGCCTCCCAAAGTGCTGGGATTACAGGCTTGAGTCACCGCGCCCGGCCATGACCCCACTTCATTTCTAAATGCAGCAACTTCCGATGTTTAGTGCTATCCCTTTGTATTCCATTTTAAAATTTCTCGGGACTCCTAAAATCTCAAAATTTTGACCCAGATTCCCTAATCTACATTTCCAGCTCTGACCTTTTTATAAAGGTCTCTTCCTTCTAGTACACATATTATAGACAATATTCTCAACCACACACTCTTACATTGCTAGTTGGTGCAGATTACTTTTGTAGATAGTGAATCTTGTCTATTTTATGTTGATTCTTATTGGTGTTGAGTACAGTGTTTGTTTTTTTTAATCTCGAAGAGGGACAGTCTCACTCTTAGGATATTGATCAGTATACTTTGTCCTTTTTTCTTTTTTGGACTAGTATACTTTGTTCTTTTCTTCTTTCTTTTTTTCTTTTCTTTTTTTTTTTTTTTTTTTTTTTTGAGACGGAGTTTCGCTCTTGTTACCCAGGCTGGAGTGCAATGGCACGATCTCGGCTCACCTCAACCTCCGCCTCCTGGGTTTAGGCAATTCTCCTGCCTCAGCCTCCTGAGTAGCTGGGATTACAGGCACGCGCCACCATGCCCAGCTAATTTTTTGTATTTTTAGTAGAGACGGGGTTTCACCATGTTGACCAGGATGGTCTTGATCTCTCGACCTCGTGATCCACCCGCCTCGGCCTCCCAAAGTGCTGGGATTACAGGCTTGAGCCACCGCACCCGGCTTTCTTTCTTTTTTTCTTTCTTTTTGAGATGGAGTCACACTCAAGTCATCTAGGCCAGAGTGCACCATCTCGGCTCACTGCAACTTCCACCTCCTGGGTTCATGTGTTTCTCCTGTCTCAGCCTCCCAAGTAGCTGGGACTACACGTGCACACCACCACACCTAGCTAATTTTTGTATTTTTAGTAGAGACAGGGTTTCACCGTGTTGGCCAGGCTGTTCTTGAACTCCTAACCTCAGGTAATTCACCCACCTCAGCCTCCCAAAGTGTTGGGATTACAGGCATGAGCCACTGTGCCCAGCCCTTTTTTTCTTTTATGCTAAAAATTTTTTCATGAGAATTAGATTATCAATTATTTGCCCTTGTTTTCTTTTGAAGAATTCCCTTTTTCATAAAGATATGATGAATCTCTTCTTCTATGATTTCTTTCAGGGGGATACTCAACTATATTATTGAAAAGCTCTAGTCAAGTAGAGGTCTTCCTTCTTCCCAATTGAGATTTTTAAATCTCAAAATGGTGTCCACCAAATGTCTTAATCTAGGTAGTCTCTTCCTTAAAAATTCATGAAATAAGAACCTTCTGGAGAAGTTAGAGGCTATTGATTGATATGGTTTAAAGCTTTTCCTTATTACATGTTTTATTTCCAAGACAGACATCTAAGTGGCTAATACTTCTATGCCTGATGTCTAACTCACTTCTATGGGAATCTATATATAAAACATTCTATTTATGACACAGAGTCTCACTCTGTTACCCAGGCTGGAGTGCAATGGCTTGATCACTGCTCACTGCAGCCTCGATATCCTGAGCTCAGGTGACCCTCCTACCACAGGCTCCCAATGTAGCTGGGGCTACAGGCATACACCACCATGCCTCAGCTAACTGTTAATGTTTTTTTTTTGTTGTTGTTGTTGTTTTTTTGTAATGACAGGGTCTCACTTATATTGTTCTGGCTGGTCTCAAATTCCTGGGCTCAAACACTGCTGCTGCTTCAGCATCCCAAAGTGCTAGTGTTACTGGCATTAGCCACCCAATCAGGTGTTTCATGGACTGGTTTGAAAGGCAGTATCTACACAGAAGCCAGAAGGCCTGTGTCTAAATTCCAGTTCTACCAGGTACTAGCTGTGTGACCTTGAAATGGAGAAAATAATACCATCTACTTGTTGGGACGATTAAACCAGGGACCAAAATGAAACATTTAGAAGAGTACATGGTAGACAGTGAGCTAAGATAATATTTGCTATTAGCATAATAATTTTTAGTGTTTTTTATATCTTTAAAACCGTATGTGTTAGGCAGGTGGCATTAAAATGAAAGTGGTCTCCTATAGCTGCCCTGAATCATTCTTCACACAACTGAAAGTGGCAGCAAATGGGGAGTGTATAATTTATAGGTCACTTTTCTCTCAGTATGACTCACTGGGCAACAACCGCATATGTACTATAATGTAAATAGCACCTCCTGGATTGAGTAGTACATAATCAACATGACTGGCAAAGACAGGCTGAAGCCACTGGACTGAAAACCTTGAACTCCATAGCTAAATCAAGTCTCCTAAATCAGTTCCCTTCCAGCAGCTGTTGCTGTTGTGCTGCTTTCATGAGCACTCTGCTGAGCACTCAGATTAAGAGGCTGTGGTGTCATTCATCAGACAGACTGCCAGAACTGTTCAGCTGACAAACTGGCAGCCATCCAGAAATACAGTTCTGGCTACAGAGTGAAGGAAGGCAAATTTAGATTCTTTTTTCATACTGAGAAAAACATGAGCATTTTATTGAACAATTCTCCTCTATTACGCTAATTGGTTTCAATTTTATATTGCTAAAAATACACTTAGAATAAAAGATTTACTGGTCAATGTCTCAAAGAGGAAATAATTGGTATGGTAAAAAGTATTCGGTTCTATGCTAAAAGCTGCCAAGCTAAAACAGTTTCAATTTATACAAGAATAGGTGACATGCATGTCATATTCTTTTCCCTTTAAGCAAATTTATGATTAGACAAAATTATATTCCATACAAAATAAAAGCCATGTAAAATTAAGGCCTAAGTTGTTCTGTAGACTGGATGACAAGTGCTGAGATGTAAGGTCAATGAGAGAACAGTCAGAGAAAGCTTCACAGAGAGGACATGGTCTGCCAAGTCCGAATGAATGAGACTAGAGGAACAGAAACTGAGAAGGCAGGAAGGACAGTATGAGTCAAATTGGTGCTGAGATCTACCCAATTAACTCTGAGAATAAAGTCCAATGGCAGGGAAATAAAAACATATGTCCATACAATAACCTGTAAATGAATGTCCACACCAGCTGTTTCTATAATAGCCAAAAAGTGAAAACAAACTAAAGGCCCATCATCTGATGAATGAATGAAAAACTGGTATAGCCATGAAATAGACTATTATTTGACAATAAGAAGAAATAAACTACGGATATGTGCTACAACATGGATAAAATTCTGAAAACATTATGCTAAGGAAAAAAGCCAGTCAGAAAGGACTTCATATTGTATGATTCTTTGTATATAAAATATGCAGAACATCAAAATCTATAGAGACAAAAGTGGATGGTGGTTGCCTATAACTGGGGCAGGTAGAGAGACATGGAGAGGAGTTGCAGCCATGGCTATGAGATACATGGTCGTTTTACAGAGTGGTAAAAATGTTCTAGCATTGATTGTGTTGATGGTTACACAATGCTGTAAATATACTAACACACACTGAGTTGTACATTTTAAATGGTTGAACTGTCTGATGTGTGAATTACTGCTCAGTGAAACTGTTTTTAAAATCCAATGGTAGAATCAAGATAATTTTTTTAACTCTCTATTTTGGTTGTACATACTCCAAATGAATGAGTATTTTAAATGAAAGTGAAGGCAATGCCTGTTGCCTAACTTTTCAAGTAGTTTGTAAATTACTCTAAAACATGTGCACTTCAAAAAATAGTATGATGGTTTTTCTGTACAAGTCAACCTAGAATCCATGAAATAAATAGGCACAGCTTCTGTGGCCATTCGCAAAAGTGAAGAAATAAGACGAGTTTCTGAAACATTCCATTCAACATTCTCCTCTGACTTAATCTGGCTTGCCTCACCAAGGCAATACAGAAATTTTCTAAAAATACTCTTTAACAGAAAAAAAGTGAATTTTCTGTGAGGAATAATGTATGGTTCTCCACTTTTCCAAGAGTACATATTGCAAGAGAAAAGGTATGCAATTATTTTTCAAAATGGCAGAATAAAATCCTGAGTTTAAGAAATAAGTACCTTATAAAGATAATAAAATAGTAATAATAAAGTATAATAAAAATACAAAATCAAGCTCTCCACTGAAATTAGTGTCCTATAACACTTTATATTATTCAACCAGCTACAGATTAACTGTTGACATGATAAATTCCATACATACTTGAAATTTCTTCTTTGAGGCATATGTCTTATCCAAATTAATGTGACAATGTGATGTACCTTCTAGTGGAGACTCTGACATAGATAATTTTTTAAGGTTATCAGCCAGTTCTTCTGAAAGTTGTCTCGTAGTCACCTGATAAAATAATTTTGTTACTAATTTTATAAATAGCCTTAGTATTAAATTGTTAACAATATTTACCTCTAACATAAATACTTTGAAAATTGTTACCAGACACATAGACTCACTTCCTTTTCCTCATATGTGCACATTCTTGTTTATTACTGAATTGAGTGAGGGATAAAGAAGATGTTATTTTCCTGCCAAATTGGTATTCTCCTACTTACATGACAGATTGATTCAGCCCACTATTCATCTTAGACCCTCAATTCAACCTGAGTTTCTCACATATTCAGTTGCCTGTTAAAATCCTTCCAACAGATGCCTATCTCAGAATAACAGTAAAATTCCAATAGTCTTCAAGACCCTAGGTAACATGGCCTCTACATCCCTCCCTGACCTCAGCTCCTACAATTCTGTCCCATACTCACTTCGTTCCCACTCTACATCAAATCTGCCACCTCTCATCAAGCTAAAAATGAGGATCCAATGTCAAACTTGTAAATCACAGAAAGCTACAAGTATCTTTGTGCTGAATAAAGTTATATACAAATGACAGCCATTGAGACCTAAAATGTAAATTATGAGCTAATTATTAATAAAAATATTCAAAGTAAATTATGAATACCTACCAGGGGAACATTAAATCAAATGTGTTTTGCTGAAATTTACATTTATTCCACCTTGTGATTTTATAACAAGTAGATGTCTTTAAAATATTAAGTGGTCAGAAAATTACATAATATGAGACTGACATATTTTCAGACTTAAGTCACACTGATATGAATCAAAACAAATTTATACCAACTAAAATACATAAAGGAGTTACTGAAGGAAAGGTGTCACAAGACACAACACACTTCAATTCATCTGGGAAATTTAGAATTAAGTGTCAAAGCAACTCACTTAATTGAATCTTAATTTCAAAATATTCATTTGAGGTGCAAGCATTTCATTTATTTGCTTCATTTTGGTCTTAAAATGTGCCAACATAAAGACATTAAATTTATTATCAGCAGTTAAGACTACATACCTTATCAACATTACTCTGTATCTGCTAAAATTTTATAGGTGATATATATATATTTTTAACAAAATCTCATTTTGTCACCAGGCTGGGGTGCAGTGGCACGATCGTGGCTCACTGCAACCTCTGCCTCCTGGAGTCAAGCGATTCTTCTGCCTCAGCCTCCCAAGTAGCTGGAACTATAAGTGTCCGCTACCCGCCTCGACCACCAAAAGTGCTGGGATTATAGGCATGAGCCACCACACCAGGCCGAGATAATGTCTTTACTCAAAGTAAAGCTACCTTTTATTTCTTGAAAATAAGGTATGTTTCCAAGCTGATACAATAAAATATTGTTTTTTGCTTTTTTTTTACTGAAACAGCTTTGTATATACATGATTTACATACTATAAAATTTATGTTTTCACATATAGTTGATTTTTAACACATTTATTCCACAACATGGAATAATATTTAGCTCTAAGTAGATTTAAGAATATTTAAATATTATTACATGCTTAACTCTAACATACATGTTTAACTCTAACATACGTACTTTAACAAATTCACTGACTTGTACAACCATCTCTACAATCCAACTTTTGAACATTTTCATCACTCCAAGACAATCTCTCATGCCCATTAGCAGTCACTACCCATTTCCAGCTTCAGCCCTACAAAAACATTAATCTACTTTCTGTCCCTATACATTTATTTTCTAGATGTTTCATGTAAATAGAATTATACAGTATGGTAAACACATTTTTATCTATTCATTTTTATATTGAACTAGGTTCAACATATAGCCAGAATGAAATGTTTAAATTTTTTTCCAGAAGACTAAAAATATTTATCTTTTTTCATACTTACTTCTTCTGCTTCTTCTTTTTCATACTGAAACAGTTTTTCTTTTAAATAATTATATTCATTCATTAATTCCTTATTTTTCTCTTCAAGAAAATCTTCCTTTCCACTCTCAAGACAGCCTCCTTCGATATTAATTACTATCTCTTTATTACTGCCATCCTTATGAGCAACCTCTAGTTGTCGTTCAAGCAAGAGATTTTCACGTTCTAGTTGACATATTCTCTCTTCACAGTTCTGCTTTAGCATGAATTGGTTCTTTTTAGCTTCTTTATTTGGATGCATCTGTTTCATTTCCTTTATTCGATGCTGTGCTTCCCTTCGGTCCATCTCTACACTTTCTAAAGCCAACGTCTTTTCCCTGAGAGCATCTCTTGTCTTGTGGAGCTTACCTTTTAAGGTATTAAACTTCATTCGAGCTTTAGAAAGTAGCACAGTAAGCAACTTGTTCTTATCCTTTAGTTGAGAAATATTAGAACTTGTTATTTCTTGTAAACAAATATCTTTTGCTCTTTGTAAAGTAAGTTCTAGGTCCTTTGTTTGCATACTTTCTTTGTGCTCATTTACAACAACAGCCAGTCTAGAATAGAGGGAATCAACTTCAGCTTCCAGTCTTTTCTTGCTGTGTTTTTCCTTCTCCAGTTTTGAATTCAGCCTTGTATTCTCAGCTTGGAGATCATTAAGCTGTTGACAATACTGGGACATTGTTTTTGTTATCATTTCCTCATTGAGTCCTACGCTCTTTTGAAAGTTAGTATTTGTTTCTTTAATACTTATAATTTCCTGAATATATTCCTTTTCCTTTTGGAGACTGTCATTTTTCATTGCATATACTTTTTGTCTGAGTATGGCAATATCTTTCTTCAACATGCAGTTTTCAGACTTCACATCCTTCTTTTTTCCATAATGTTGACACTCCTAAATAAAACAAAAGAAATTTTTAGCCAGCACTCAATAAAGTAACATATCATGATTATCTCTGAAGTGAATGAACAACCTGTACATTTATGCAATTAAAAGTTGCTATAAGTGGATATCCAGCTGGAGAAAAACTTGAAGCAAAACCTTGAACCTTAGCATAAATTTCACAAAGTTCAAAACTTTATTTGAAGTCAAAGAATCCACAGCAGTAAAAAATTACACACATACTTGAGAATTTTCAGGAATATCAGAAATGGAAAAGCCTTTCTCTGAATTACAACAAACTCAAAGCATAAAATAAAATATTAAAACTGTTGACTAAATTAAAACATTGAAAAAAGAAAATTGCATTTATACTGTGATATCTAACCCAGACATCACCCTATAGTAAGAGCTTTACCTCCACGTGTATTTGGACAGATAAAATTTCTCAAAGTGTTTAAAGTTCTGTTTTTTTATTATAGTCTATTTTGATTTCACTCAACCCTTTTTAGTCAGTTATAAGAATTATATTTACTAAATCATATATTTAGACATTGTACTAAGCACTTCTACATGCATGTATTGATGAACTTACTTACTTATCACAATTCTTAAAAAGAGAGGTTAAAAAATACAAGTAAACTGCAGGATTTTCCCCAAGGTTTTTGACTCGATTTCTAGTTCTCCACCAGATCACAGTTACTTCTGTGGTGTAAATATATCAACACAAAAACAGAGAAACAAAAAGACACAGACACAAAATGTGTCTTCTGTCTTTATCACCAGGATGCTACATGAAATAGCCAGATCAAGAAGATGTGAACTTGTGGGGCTTCAGAAACAGAAAAGAAGCTTTCCCTTTTCTGCACTAAGCTATTTTATTTCCCACTGCCTTTTATCCTTATTTTTTTATTTGGATCCTAGAATATCAAAAAAGTGAAGGTGCTCACTGAAATAGAGGAACCAAAGTTTGCCCCAACACAATGAGAAGAGTGAAATTGCTGAGTTGCTAGTGCTGAATCCTGGAAGATGAGATGTTCCCCAAATTTACATTCAATTACCACAAAAGTTTATAGCTGGAAGATATATAGTACAGCTGTCTACTCTAGCCTGATTATCTACTTCATAATGGAAGTGAAACCAAGAAATATTAAATAATTCACCAAAGCTCCTAAGGTAGCATTACCTAGCATTTCATGGCACCAAAAGGGAAGATACAATTGCATATTGCTGGATTACATAAATTTCCAGAAAAATATATCAAATTGATCAGATAAATTAAAAGTGTGACTTTGGCAAAGCAATTTAATGCCTTGGAGGATGGTGGGAGGTCTCATTTGCTTTTACCTTGAAAGAAGAAAGTATCTATATTTTTGTCTATCTTTAGAACACAATGTACAGAACTCAGCTTTGTACTATAGACTCAAATGCTAAATTTTTGGCTGGGGAATTATGCTACTTATATGATAAAATCATCCAGGTCAAACTTTACCATATTTTATTAAACAACATAATGTAAAAGTCTGATTCAACAGAAACATTGGGGAGTGGTAATTTTTTAAAAATATGCAAAAGTATATGTATTTGTTTCCAAAAATATTTACAATGGCCATGATGGAATTATACTTTTTAACAGTTTGAGTTAAACAGATAAATCTGCATGCATGAAAGCACATTAAACAGACTTCTTTGGCTGGGAATATTTGTTGCAACTCTCAAGGCTAGATACATTTTCAGGTCTCTTCTTAGTCAGTGCTTCCCTCCCATTGTATTACCATTTTATTATTTAAATAAATCGAATTCATCTTTAAATCAGTACAGAAAAAAGAATCTAGAGCTTATTTCTTTAGCAACTTCTTTTATACTTATCTGGTTCAGAAGGTCGCACGGCTAAATTATTTTCCCAGCCCATATGCCACTTGGAAGACTAGTGAGACTTAGGTTGACTAATGTACAAAGATTATGAGAATGTTTTCCAGAACTGTCATTTAGATAGCAGTACTAATCTACTTTGACACATAATTACACATTTGGATAACACCACTGTAACTAAAAACAAAATTTTCTTGAATAGAAAAGCAGAACGAATCAGATAAGTTTATAAAAAGAGAAGCAGCGGCCGGGCGCGGTGGCTCAAGCCTGTAATCCCAGCACTTTGGGAGGCCGAGGCGGGTGGATCACAAGGTCGAGAGATTGAGACCAACATGGTCAACATGGTGAAACCCCGTCTCTACTAAAAATACAAAAAATTAGCTGGGCATGGTGGCGCGTGCCTATAATCCCAGCTACTCAGGAGGCTGAGGCAGGAGAATTGCCTGAACCCAGGAGGCGGAGGTTGCGGTGAGCCGAGATCGTGCCATTGCACTCCAGCCTGGGTAACAAGAGCGAAACTCTGTCTAAAAAAAAAAAAAAAAAAAAAAAAAAAAGAGAAGCAGCAAGTGAACCTCTTTCGTTTTATAGTTAAACTTTCTTCTTCAAAGCCAGGAACTCTATTTGTAGCATGCCCACCTCATTCTTAAGCCTTTGCATCTATCTCTGTGAGAAACAGGCTACATGTCTAGTTTGCTATAATTTTTACAGTCTGATTTATTTTCCTTTGAATAAAGCTTAGAAGATGACTGGCAAGGTAGATATGCTTTTGATGTTCTGTCACTAAGTGGTGAAGAATAACTCACATTTTCTAATTCAGGTTTCATGCTTTTATAGCTATTAGCAGTGGGACTGTCACATGTGGGTCCCTGAAACACACTTGCTAGTCACCTTCTAAGCTTTAGAAGAGCTTCTAAGTTCCATATGGCTTGTGGAACAAGTGCTGTATTGGTTTTCCATTTTTCTAAGTGTCTCTAACAGCAGAAATACTAGGGCTTTCTATCTGTATCATATGCTCCATTACTTTGGAGTGAGCAAACCACAAATCAACAAAGACTTTTTGGATCTCTAGACTGAGGCCAATGTCTAATGTCTAATTTGCTATTAGTAGTATTTTGGTTGATATTTTTTGTTATTTGCATATCAAACTCTTGGTCTTCTTTCGTTTCAACCATAACCAGTGGGTTCTTTAATTTTTCAATTTCTGTATCATTACAACAATTCTCTTCACCTCTGTGAAAAACAGGCTACATGTCTGGTTTGTTATAATTTATACAGTCTGATTTATTTTCATTTGACTAAAGCTTAGAAAATGACTGCAAATGTGTTGAGGGATCCAGAGTATAAACGTAATGCAAAGACATGTTTGAGATGGGCTCCTTCTGTTCAGGCAATGCCTGGAATACTACAAAGTTAGACACTCCATCAGATTACAGGGCGCTCCCTTTAGGTTTGTCCCTCTTTGGAGTTACTCTGTAAGATCTCTTCCCCAGGACAAACAGTAATTTTGGATTTTTCAAAACTTTCACCAATCTTCAGTTGAATTTTTTGTAATGAATTTTAAAGGAAGTCCTGAATATACAGATGTATGTTCTTTTTTTTTTTTTTTTTTTTTTTTGAGACAGAGTTTCACTCTTGTTACCCAGGCTAGAGTGCAATGGCGCGATCTCGGCTCACCACAACCTCCGCCTCCTGGGTTCAGGCAATTCTCCTGCCTCAGCCTCCTGAGTAGCTGGGATTATAGGCACGCACCACCATGCCCAGCTAATTTTTTGTATTTTTAGTAGAGACGGGGTTTCACCATGTTGACCAGGATGGTCTCGATCTCTTGACCTTGTGATCCACCCGCCTCAGCCTCCCAAAGTGCTGGGATTACAGGCTTGAGCCACCGCGCCCGGCAGATGTATGTTCTTTATCAAAATTCTTACTCAGTTGTGGTTCTTGAGACCTTTATTTGCAGGTTCAAAAGTGGAAAACTAATTTGCTTGTTTTGTTTCTCAGATGTCTTTTCTGTCTGGGTACATGGTTTTTTGTTTTTTTTTTTTTGAGACGGAGTTTCACTCTTGTTACCCAGGCTGGAGTGCAATGGTGCAATCTCGGCTCACCACAACCTCTGCCTCCTGGGTTCAGGCAATTCTCCTGCCTCAGCCTCCTGAGTAGCTGGGATTACAGGTACGCGCCACCATGCCAAGCTAATTTTTTTGTATTTTTAGTAGAGACGGGGTTTCACCATGTTGACCAGGATGGTCTCGATCTCTTGACCTCGTGATCCACCCGCCTTGGCCTCCCAAAGTGCTGGGATTACAGGCTTGAGCCACTGCACCCGGCCCTGGGTACATGTTTTAAAATTAACTTTATTCTGAATTAAGTGTGAACAAGGAAAAAATAGAAAATAATTAAAATCAGCCATGTGCGGTGGCTCACACCTGTAATCCCAGCACTTTCGGAGGCCAAGGTGGGTGGATCACCTGAGGTCAGGAGTTAGAGACCAGCCTGGCCAATGTGGAGAAACCCCATCACTAATAAAAATATAAAAATTAAGCGGGTGTGTTGGTGGGCTCCAGAAATCCAAGTTGCTTGGGAGACTGAGGTGAAAGAGTCACTTGAACCCAGGAGGTGGAGGTTGCAGAGCCAAGATCGCAGCATTGCACTCCAGCCTGGGCACCAAGAGCAAAATTTCATCTCAAAATAATAATAATAATAATAATAATAATAATTATTATTATTATTTAACTGTGAAATTTAATGTATGGTTTGCTACTCCTAAGTTACTGGATTATAACTAAGAAGTAAAAAAGTAATTTGCCTTGGCTTAACACAGCAAGCTTAACTCTCACTGTTTGAAGAAAACTTAATTATGAATTAAATCTGCCAGAAACGCGTTGCTAGATGATATGTAGTATCATAAAGCGATCTCTCTGAGAAGGATTTTTACCTCAGCAAACCGTAAATAGTGAACCCCTGCAGTGAATTCATACATCTGAAGAATAACTGGAGAGTAGGCAAATGCTAAATTGTCAGAATTGGCTGAAGTGTTTTAAAATTAAATACGAAATTATGATCTGTTGAACTTTAAAAGGATGGTCTAAAAGGTCACTTCATTTGGACTATGGTATGTTATCTTAAAAAAATAAACAAACAAACCAATATTAAACCAGAAATTTAAATAGTTTTATACCTGTGGCTGTTGGTTTTCACTTCTTTCAAGACTTTCTTGCCTTTCCTCTGAAGCCACTTTTAAGTCATGTTCTGCTAACAAATAAATATATTGAGTTTAAATGAATGATTTAGAACAGTTAAAGACTATAATCTTTAGAAAATTGGATACAAAACATATACATTTATTTTAGAAATTGAGAGTTTAAATGAAGCTTAATGTTTACTATAATATTTAACTTTTTAAGAAATACTTCTAATTATCTAAAACTTCAACAAACCACTTGGGGAGACACTAGATATCAGCAGGTTCGAGCCATGCAAAAATCTCAGGGTCACCCACAAATTATTCCACTCAATATAAATAAACAAAACTGCTGGAAAGAAAAATTTAAAAATACAGTGAAAACATATAAAGTAACACTTCACTATTCTCTACTTCCTAATAGTGTATTTTTTAACAACATGCTAAGTGAATTATTTACCAATAATTTGTAAAAATTTTGTTACCGTTATATCTTTATTGGCGTCCATTCTGCTTTTCACATCTGAAATGTTTTCCTCTACTATTCTGACAAATTTGTATTTGTGTTTTAAGACTCTGAATGTAGGCTTGGCACAGTAGATCAGAATTGTAATCCCAGCACTTTGAAAGGCCCAAGAGAGAGAATTGCTCAAAGCCAAGAGTTTAAGACCAGTCTGGAGACCACAGTGAAACCTTGACTCTAAAGAAAATTTGTCAGGCATGGTGGTGTGGGCCTGTAGTGCCAGCTACTCAAGAGGTTGAGGTGAGAGGCTCCCTTAAGCCCAGGAGTTTGAGTTTGCAGTGACTCTGGATCATGCTATTGCACTCCACCCTGGGTGACAGGGTAAGAACTTTTTCCAAAAACAGAAAAAATTTTTAAAAAAAGGAAAAAAAGTTTCAGAATGCTATGTGGAGTGCTCTTTTAATCTGGATATTTTTATCCACATACACAGGTGTCTCCTTCCTTGGGGATCCCTTAGTACTTTGCCAATTTGTCTAGTGTCACTTGACCATCTGAGCTGTACATGTCTTTGCATGTCTATCCTCTTTGCTGCTAGACTGTAGCAATCATCTTTGCATAAACAGTCTTTATTTTACAAAATATTTGTTAAGTTCCTGCTAAGTGCTAGGCACTGGGGTTTAAGGAATGGGATAAAACTTGTCAGGGGGCCGGGCGCGGTGGCTCAAGCCTGTAATCCCAGCACTTTGGGTGGCCGAGGCCGGTGGATCATGAGGTCAAGAGATCGAGACCATCCTGGTCAACATGGTGAAACCCAGTCTCTAGTATTTTTGTACTAAAAATACAAAAAATTAGCTGGGCATGGTGGCGCGTGCCTGTAATCCCAGCTACTCAGGAGGCTGAGGCAGGAGAATTGCCTGAACCCAGGAGGTGGAGGTTGCGGTGAGCCGAGATCGCGCCATTGCACTCCAGCCTGGGTAACAAGAGCGAAACTCCGTCTCAAGAAAAAAAAACAAAAAAAAAACAAAACTTGTCAGGGATAGCTTTTCTACAGATCACACCTGAGCTGAGACTTAGAGCATGAAGTACACCAGATTAAAAGAGGCAGAAGGTAGGAAAGGTAGTGCATTGGCAAGAGAGGAAAAGAAGCCTCCCAGAGCATATGTATTTGTCTACATGAGAGGGATGGTGATGGGGGCATTACCAGTAGCTCAATAATGGGAAAAAAAAAAGGCAGACAGAGAAAGGGCTGCAGATGGAGATTTGGGAAGAAGCCAGTTTCTGAAAGCCTTATACAAAACAACTATCATTATCATTTCTTAAATTTAGAAAAAAAAGCAAAACAAATTTAAAAAGAAAAAGACCAACATTTTATTTTATTTTTTCTTATCTCATTTGACTTGATTTTCATTAGAGGTGTGGTCTCGCTCTGCCACCCAGGCTACAGTGTAATTTTGCTGTCATAGCTAACTGTAGCCCCAAACTTCTAGGCTCAAACAACTCTCCTGCTTCTGTTTCTCAAGTAGCTGGAATTACAGGGGCAGAACACCACACCCAGTTACATTTAAAAGAAAAATAGACACGGAGCCTTGCTATGTTTCCCAGGCTGCTGGACTTCCTGGCCTCAAGGGATTTTTCTGTCTCAGCCTCCAACACTGTAGGGATTGCAGGCAGGAGCCACCATGCCCAGCAACACCAATATTTTAAATGAATAAACTGGAGGTCCATCATTTTATTTTATCATGGATGGGTGAAAACCTTATAATAGACTCAGGTAGTTCATGGATTTGTGACAAGGAAACTGTAGCATTAACTATGACTGAAGCTTCCCTGGTCTACATGGTTAAGAGTAAGACATTCAAGAGTAGAGACATTCAAGACATTTAGACCCTTCGCACCTTCTTCTTCTTCTTCTTCTTCTTCTTCTCCTTCTTCTTCTTCTTCTTCTTCTTGTTCTTGTTCTTGTTCTTCTTCTTCTTTTTCTTCTACTACTACTACTTTTTTCTTTTTTTTCAAATTTGCAGGGTTCGTAGCTGCTGTTTCTGTCAAACAAGCAAGCTTGTTATATATATACTCCTTCTGGAAAACATCATCTGGAAAACATCATCCCTCTGCCTCCTTATCTGGCAAAGTTTCACTCACTCTACATGCTTACCCTAAATCTTATACACCTTTTAGAAGCTTGTACTCATCACCACAAATTTAAAAGTGCATGGAATCTAATGAATACAACAAAATACCTAGTAAATAATAACCATATGCTCTCAGGTGACATCTATCCTCCATCTATCCTCTACATTAGGGGTCAGCACACTACAGACCACAGGCCAAATCCCGCCTAACATATGTTTTTTCTCAAAGTTTTATTTTATTTTATTTGTTTATTTTTTAAAGAAGGGGTTTCATTGTGTTGGTCAGGCTGGTCTTGAACTCCCAACCTCAGGTGATCTGTCCGCCTTGGCCTCTAAAGTGCTTGGATTACAGGCGTGAGCCACCGCGCCCGGCCCTTTTCTCAAAATTTTATGAGAGTACAGTCATGCCTATTGACTGACAGGCTACCTATGACTGCTTTCTCACCACCATGGCAGGGTTCAGTAGCTACAATAGAGATCACATGGCCTTCAGCTGTTCAAATCATTTTTGGGGAGACAGAGAGAGAAAGAGAGAGAGAGAGAGAGAGAGAGAGAGAGAGAGAGAGAGAGAAAGAGAGACACCACATGGCCTAAAATATTTTCTACTTGGCCCTTTACAGAAAAAGCTTGCCAATCTCTGCTTTATACCATGAACAGAATGCCCTAATTCTCAAATGTAATCCATTGCCTTCCCTGCTCACAATTTTCCAATGAATTCCTGCAGCAAACACTGCTAGCTCCCTACCCAAGAGCAGTTCCTTATTATTTCTTGCTGGAGAAACACAAATCTATTTGGACATTTATTATTCCAATACTCCTCCCCAGCTTCAAAAGAGAAATGATTATTCTAAGCTAATCACATAATTACATGTGCTTTCCCATTGCCTGGTTCAGGTATGAGTATGTGGTGTGACCCAGCCAATAAGATAGCAAAGGAAGCCCCCTGCATGCTTCTGAGTTTGCTCTCAATTTAAAAGACACATATGAAGAAAACCAGCCCTTCCAGCCCTTAGATACTGCCTTGTGAGAACATGATGGTTGGAGCTGCTGCTAAGTAGTCAACCATGAAAGGAGACATGAACAAGACACTGCCAACATCATAAATGAAAGAGGAACAAGTGGGATCCAGTATTATCAAGGGACCAAACAAGTCTGGTTTTTATGGTTTTGGCCACTGTCAGTTAGGTCTTTCTAGTATTTGCAGCCAAAAGCATTCTACCTGAGAAGTTTCTCCTAGCCTACAGGGTAAGATCTACTCATTTATATACTATTAAAAGTCTTTTTATTAAACTTATTTAAAGACACAGGTAAAACAACAGCAACAAAGTATTTCCTAAGCTTGCCTTTACTGACACATACTGAACATCATAAATACATAATAAATAATAGCTATAAGCTATTTTCATCCCATTCCCAACCACTTCCATATACTTTTTTTGTACTAGTAAATTTCAACTGCTTATAAACTCTACAAAGTTCACTCAGGTGTCCTACCTTTTGAACTTGCTGCTCCTCTTTTAAAACTTTCATTCTTCATGGCTGCTGCTTCTGTCAAACATGCAAGCTTGTTAGATATTCCTTCTGCCAAGAGTCATCCTACTGCCTCCCTACCTGGAAAAGTTCTACTCACTATACATGCTTACCCTAAATCCTACCCACATTTTAGAAGCTTGCATTCATCGCCACAAATGTAAAAATGACTGGCACATACTAAACATGATACACGTACGTAATGAATAACAACTATAAGCTCCCAGATGATGTTGGACACATAGTAAGCACTACATAAGGGAGCAAACAAAATAAATGACAATGGTAACAACAATCTCCTAACCGTATTTTTAAAATGTCTTTTGTAACGCTGGAGAAAAATTCTTAGTCCATAAAATACACATGATAGTTATTTTTTAAGTGGACAAGTGTATGAATAAATCAACATATTTTTCTTAAAAATTTAGTAGAAAAAATACAAAAATTAAAGTTATTTGTATTTTGTTATGAACACCTTCAAGACAAAAAGCTATGTCAATTTCATCTTTGCCTTTTGCAATTTGCCAAACCTAACTTATAGAAGTGGTTTGATAAGTATGTACTAAATTTAAGGTGTTTTTATACAGTTATTAGGTGTTACATTTTTGTTATTGTGAACCATTTTTATAATTTTATTATAATATTTTGAACCTAGAGTTTGGCTATTGGAATATTTATTATGATCACCATTTGACTAATGGTCACAGAGTGCCTTTTTTTTTTTTTTTTTTTTTTTTTTTTTTTTTTCAGAAGGAGCCTGAATGCAGTTGTGCAATCTCAGCTCACTGCAATTTCCACCTCCCGGGCTCAAGCAATTCTCTTGCCTCAGCCTCCCAAGTAGTTGAGATTACAGGTGACTGCCCCCATGAATGGCTAATTTTTGTATTTTTAGTAGAGATGGGTTTCACCATGTTGGCCAGGGTAGTCTCAAACTGATGACCTCAAGTGATTCACCTGCTTCGGCCTCCCAAAGTGCTAAGGTTACAGGTATGAGCCACCATGCTGACCCTGGTAACAGAGTATCTTGTTCCAACAAAATCACCATTATTGTGAGAATTATCCAGCATATAATAAAATGCAGCTTGTTCTAGGAAGTAAGTATGTCTCATGAGGTTCCAACTTATGAAGACTAAAGTAAAAAAAAGACCTTGTTTGTATAAGAATACGTAATATAACTTCTCCTCTTGGAAAGGAATTACTTTTCTGCCTTCCGCATTCAATAGGTAACTTCAAAAATAATCTATTTGTATGGGTGTACACTTATGACTCATTTGTTTATGGTATCAGAAAGAGATCATTGAGTTCCCAGTTCTAAAGATAGTTACTTTCTTAGTGACACAAATTCCTGTGTAATACAGTTGACCCTTGAACAACAAGAGTTTGAACTGCAGGGGCCCACTTACATGTAGATTTTTCTTCTGCCTCTGCAAACCAGAGACAGCAAAACCAAACTTTTTTCTTCCTCTTCAGCCTAATCAACCTGAATATGATGAAGATGAAGACCTTTGGGAGAATTCACTTATGCTTTTGAATAGTAAATATATTTTTTTCTTTTCTACAATTTTCTTTATAAAAGCTTCATTTCTCTACCTTATTTTATTGTAAGAACATAGTATATAATAATGCAACACATACCAAATATGTGTTCATCGACTATTTATCAGTAAGGCTTCCAGTCAATGGTCGGCTATTAATAGTTAAGATTGGAAGGAGTCAGTTATACTCAGATTTTCAACTGCACAGGGATCAGAGTCCCTAACCCCTACATTATTGAAGAATCAACTGTAATTAATATTTATTTACTAAATACAAACCATTTATTATAAAAATTAAATAGAAGATCCATTTGCCTGACAACTCCAATTTGTAATAATGTGATTATAGAGAAAAATACAACATACTAACTTAAAAATCTAATTTTTTTTTATATTACTACAAAAATATCATGTAGATTTTCAGGGATCATAAGTAGCTAAATGAATTTTTTCAGACAATACTGTTTGAGATTATAAATTAGCTACAATTAACCTCTTAAATAACTCTAAATTCTAAAGGAATTAAATTTAAAAAAATACATATATATTTTTAAACTACCCTTTAATAATTAAAACTATGTAATCTTACTTCTTTTTTTTTTTTTGGAGATAGAGTCTTGCTCTTTGATCCAGGGTGGAGTGCAGTGGTGTGATCTCAGCTTACTGCAACATCCACTTCCTAGGTTCAAGTGATTCTCCTGCCTTAGCCTCCCAAGTAGCTGGGATTACAGGTGCCAGCCATCCTGCCTGACTGATTTTTTATTTTTAGAAGAGATAGAGTTTTGCCACGTTAGCCAGGTTGGTCTCAAACTCCTGACCTCAGCAGGTCCACCCGCCTTGGTATACCAAAGTGCTGGGGTCATAGCTGTGAGCCACCGTGCCTGGCCTGTAATACTGCCTTTTAAAATCAATAAGACTACCAGAAGAAATGAGAAATTTACTAACAGAAGTCTTACCTCGATTGTTATTTCGCAGACGATTTTTAAGTATCTTATTTTTATGTTCTGAAATTTGTTGTTGAATGCTACAAGCATAATAAACATAATACATAAAATTACTATTTTAATCATAATATAAAAATATTTACCAATGTGAAATTTTAAAGCTTTTCAGACAATATCAGAGCTAATATCAGAACTCTAATGTACCATACACCTTAAAATTTTAAGCTCTATAAACTTATTAAGCTTCTAATTAAAGAAGAAAAACATAAAGTACTCATAAACTGAGAGAAGCATAGTTCAGTAAATTAATTCTAGTCAGTTTAACATCCTGGAAAGTGTCCTGCACTCAGAATAAGTCTTCGCTCTATAACCAGTAGGTATTTTGTTTTTGGACCAGTTGCTTTTAGGCTCCATGGCTTCTTCTAAAAAATAAGGATTTACTACCTTTCTTCACTAGGCTGTAAGTAGGATATAATGAGATAACATGTTTAAATGTTCAGAGAAATAGTAAAGCAATGGAACAGTTTACTCTTGAAGTGCATTGCTGAAATAATTTTGAAATCTCAACACCTGATGGGTGCGTTTTTATAGGTTCTAATATTTCAGTGTCATGGTTTTCGGAAAATGTTATTAAGTGCTAATTTTGGTTATTCGTTCTATTCATTGTGGATTGTAGTTCAGAGCATTTTAGCTAATCCATAACTTGTAACTAAATTTATATATATTATTATCTCATTAAAATAGATTACCTAATTGTCCCCTATCACTGAGATCATCAACCACACCAAGGGCAGACTAATAGATGTCAAAACCTGTCTTGGACAAGTACCATTTCTCCTCTGTCTACTCAAACCCTTAGCCAGCAGATCTGTGTTAGAGGGCTGGATCTTCATGGTCCTCTCCAACTGACATATAAGACAAAACCCTGCTTGTATTGTTTTTCAGTTCCATGGAAGAGATGCAAGTTGATGTTTCCTCATTTCCAAGTCATGTACTAACAACATATTTGCACGTAACATCCCATATGTTACTCAGTTCTGTTCTCATTTCACAGATCACCTTACATGAATACTATTTTTTTTAATTGAGATGAAGTCTCACTCTGTAGCCCAGGCTGGAGTGTAGTGGCACAATCTCAGCTCACTGCAACCTCTGCCTCCAGGGTTCAAGCAGTTCTCCTGCCTCAGCCTCCCCGAGTAGCTGAGACTACTGGAATGTGCCAACACACTTGGCACGTTTTTTTGTATTTTTAGTAGAGATGGGGTTTCACCGTGTTATCTAGGATGGACTCAATATCCTGACCTTATGATCGGCCCGCCTCAGCCTTTCAAAGTGCTGGAATTACAGGCATGAGCCACTGTATCCGGCCCAACATGAACACTTCGATGATGATAATAGTAACAATTTCAGTTTTGGTTGTCTCCCATTTTGATTTCACTCACACTGTTTCCCTGGAGCTAGTTAACAAATAGTCAAATGACATTCTGGGGACTGTGCAAAATACGGAACGCTTTAAGAATTTGTGTGCCATGTTTAGGCAGCATGCATGCTTATCTGTTCTGTATTGATTCAATATCAAAATATGTACTGCTGAAACAGGTATAAAGCCCTGTTTTATACATGGATACTCATGAGTCATGTATAAAGCTTAGCTCTGTTAAATCCAACTTACCTACTTCAGATAGAGAGAATTGTATTGAATGACTTCCTGTGAGGTAGAATTTTTAAGTATTTGAAAACTTGAGGTAGAGATGCAAGTATCCTGGCAGATTTTCATTATTATGGAAACAGACCACTGGGCCAACTGCAAGTTGGTGCCCACTACTCTACTGCAGGATAATGTGGAACCTTCTGCTATCTAACAAAAGCTGCTACACAGGACATCAAAAAGCCTCAAGGTACAGATGTGATCACAAAAGGGAATGGAAACACTGATCTCTTCCTGCAACATTATTTGAACGTTCCTGACTGTTGAGTACAATTCCAACTAATATTTGCTAGAGAAAAGACAAACATAAGTCTCAAAGGATAACTTACCATGAAGGTCTAGGCTAAGCCTAGCTAAGAGGTGGGCTACAAACAAGGTTTTTAGTTTTGACAGAGGGTCAAGTTACTCACTATGTGTTTGGTGGGTAAAGCAAGGAGGCCTCACTGCCAGAGCAGAATGCTGGGAACATTGACTGAGTATATGTACATGAATTAAAAAACACTGTAGCGAGAGAGAGATCCAAGATAGCTGATCACTAGCAGCTCGGGATTGTAGCTCCCACTGAAAGCGCAAAGAAGGAGAGGACGCCACACCTTCACATGAATTCATGTTGCTCACGCACCAGGAGATTCCCAGCGGAGGAGCCCCACGGGTCGCCAGCGCGACTCTTGTGACCGGCGAGGCGGTTTTGCCGGCGCCTCGGAGCGTCGGTTCTCAGTGCAGAGTCGGAAAAGCACCCTCAATCTTAACGCCGCTGATTTAGTCGGTGCAGTGGGTTGCTCAGATTTCGGCGCTGAGAATCAGTAAGTTGGACGTCCACTCAGAAGCCCAATTACAAAGACGGTGATTATAAAGACTACAGATGGATGAATCTACAATGAAGGGAAGAAAACGGTCAAAAAAGGCTGAGAATACCCAAGATCAGAACGCCTCTTCCTCAGCAGGGGATCCCAGTTCCTCATCAGCAACGAAACAAGGCTTGATGGAGAACGAGTGGGTTCCAATTACAGAAGCAGGCTTCAAAACGTGGATAATAAGAAACTTCTGTGAATTAAAAGAACTTGTTATAACACAATCTAAAGAAACTAAGAACTTTGAAAAAAGGTTTGACGAAATGTCAACAAGAATACAAAATTTAGAGAGGAAAATAAGTGAATTGATGGAGCTGAAAAACACAATACGAGAACTACGTGAAGTATGCACAAGTTTTAACAGCCGAATTGATCAAGCAGAAGAAAGGATATCAGAGGTCGAAGATCAACTCAATGAAATAAAACAAGAAGACAAGACGAGAGAAAAAAGGATAAAAAGGAACGAGCAAAGTCTCCAAGAAATATGGGACTATGTGAAAAGACCTAATCTACGCTTGATAGGTGTACCTGAATGTGACGAAGAGAATGAATCCAAGCTGGAAAATACGCTTCAGGACATTATTCAGGAAAATTTTCCCAGCCTAGTAAGGCAGGATAATACTCAACTCCAGGTAATACAGAGAACACCACAGAGATATTCCTCAAGAAGAGCAACTCCAAGGCATATAATCGTCAGATTCACCAGGGTTGAAATGAAGGAGAAAATACTAAGGGCAGCCAGAGAGAAAGGTCAGGTTACCCACAAAGGGAAGCCTATCAGACTTACAGCAGATCTCTCAGCAGAAACCCTACAAGCCAGAAGAGAGTGGGGGCCAATATTCAACATCCTTAAAGAAAAGAACTTTCAACCCAGAATTTCACATCCAGCCAAGCTAAGCTTCACATGTGAAGGAAAAATAAAGTTTTTTGTGAATAAGCAAGCACTCAGAGATTTCATCACCACCAGGCCTGCTTTGCAAGAGCTTCTGAAAGAACCACTACACATATGAAAGGAACAAACAGTATCAGCCTTTCTAAAAAAATTATCAAAAAGAGCATCAATATAATGAAGAATTTACATCAACTAATGGACAAAATAGCCAGCTAATGACAGTATTAAACTCACATATATTATTATTAATTCTAAATTTAAATTGACTAAATCCCCCAATCCAAAGACAAGCAATTTGAATAAAAAACTAAAACCCATCAGTATGCTGCATCCAGATCCATCTCACATTCAAGGATACACAAAGACTCTAAACAAGGGATGGAGAAAGATTGACCAACCAACCAGAGAGCTAAAATAAATAAATAAAAAGCAGAAGTTACAATTAAGCAACAAAGATCAAAAGAAGCAAAGAAGGACATTATATAATGATAAAAGGATCAATGCAACAACAAGAAGAGCTAAAGATCCTAAATATATACGCATCCAATACAGGAATACCTAGACATACAGGACTTATAAAGAGACTTAGACTCCCACATAATAATAGTGGGAGACTTCAATATTAATATTAGACAGATCAATGAGACAGAAAATTAACAACGATATTCAGGTCTTGAATTCAGATCTGGAACAAGTAAATGTAATTAACATTTATAGAACTCTCCACTTTAAATATACAAAATATACCCTCTTATCAGTATCACATCATATCAATTTAGAAGTTTAAATGAAATCTTGGTTGGCTCCTTGTTTGTTATTCTCTTCTCTCAATTTCTTTCATCTCTCCATTATTAAGGACAATTATAGGCATACCCATATTTAGACTGCATTCTAGCCTGGGCAATAAAGCAATACCCCCATCCTCTCTCCCTCTTCCTCTTTCTCTTTCTTCCTTTTCTTTATAAAAAAAAGAAAAAGAAAAAAAGAAAACTACAAAGATAAGGAAGCTCCATACCCCCTCACCATTAGCCACGCAATGGACAGAACACAGTGTCATCTCTCTGTTCACCTGAGACAAACGCACATCTCATTAGAAAAAAAAAAAAACAGAAAGTCTGAGGGCAGAGTCAGGCCGACTCCTGAGGTGCGAGGGGCCCGGGGGGCTCTAGTGAGCCTCAGGAGATTTAGAAGCAGCAGCCCTCAAAAAAAAAAAAAAAAAAAAAACACTGTAGCTGTGAACTCTGTGTATGAGTCACCATGAAGACTGAGGGATCTGAATCAGTAAAGGCATCCTGTGGGCAAAGGTCAACCATTACCAGATTGCAGGACCAGTTACAATGGCAGCAATACAGCAAGTGAATCAGTGGAAACAACGGAATGATTAGAGTGGTTTTTTCTCCCGCTTCTTCTGACTTGTAAAGCAAGACTGTCTTCCTTGGACTTAGTGAACTCCTTAGCTTTTCAAAAAATTCAAAGCAGGAAGGCATAAGAGATAGCCCCAGGGGACAATACAAGATTTTCTGCTAAACTGGACATTTCAAGACCCAATAACTAATTAGAAAAGTCAGGCCAGGCATGCTGGCTAGCAATTTGGGAGGCTGAGGCAGGAGAATCACTTGAGCTTAGGAACATGGGCAACATAGTTAGACCTTGTCAAAAAAAAAAAAAACAAACAAACAAACAAACAAACAAACAAACAAAAAAACAGAGAAAGAAAGAAAAATAGTAAAAAGATGTGACACTACTCATATTTCACGTATAGGGGTTATACTTGGAATAAAATGAACAACATTGAGATAGATCTCTAGGGATAAAAGTTTTTAAAAGTCCTGAAAGAATCTTGCACTATTCCTACTTTTAACTAGTTTAGCTTTCTGTTTGATTTCTGGCTAAAAAGTGGACTAACTAGTTGCCATTCCTAAGTACCTCAATAAAACTGAAATGTCACCCAATGTATAAATGCAATATTTCTAATTATTTTATTTTTTTATTTTTTATTTTTTATTTTTTTTTTGAGGCGGAGTTTCGCTCTTGTTACCCAGGCTGGAGTGCAATGGCACGATCTTGGCTCACCGCAACCTCCGCCTCCCGGGTTCAGGCAATTCTCCTGCCTCAGCCTCCTGAGTAGCTGGGATTACAGGCACGCGCCACCATGTCCAGCTAATTTTTTGTGTTTTTAGTAGAGACGGGGTTTCACCATGTTGACCAGGATGGTCTCGATCTCTTGACCTCGTGATCCACCCGCCTTGGCCTCCCAAAGTGCTGGGATTACAGGCTTGAGCCACCGCGCCCGGCCGTTCTAATTATTTTAAAACTTAATTTAGTATTAACTGGTCTTTTAATATAAGCACTTACCTTATCATATCACAACAAATAGCATAATCTTCTGCATTTTGTTTAAATATATCTTGAGAAAAGATGTTAATATTTTGTTCAAGGAGAAATCTGACTATGCTTGGAAAGTTATGATGGACGGCAAGCATGAGGGCTGTTCTAAAATGATAAAGAAATGACTCCACTTAAGAACTTTAATAAAGATAGTTAACTGGCAAATTTCATACACCTTACCAATTAGTACCTTGCCTGTCAGTGCAGACATAATAACCATTTACATGTTCTAACTTATGCCTCTAAGCATCTTGGGTGCTCAAGTGTTCATCTTTGTAAATTACCACCAAGGCTAAAAGGCAGGGACAATAAGGAAGTCTCTTGTCCCACTGGGGTATGACATAATACCAGTTGCTAACTTATAGTTTTTTGATGGCCAAGAAACTATGCTGAGGTCACTTACATAAAGTAAGCAAAGATTTATATGAAGATTTCTTCATTGCTTTTCTAGTCTGGTATATTGTAATTCAAAGTCAGCTAGAGGTCAGATAACTAAGAGCTAACTGCAGGCTGAAAACAACAATAATGATAGTAATAAGAATAATGGTAATAGTAGTAGTTGTAAACTGAAAGTTAAAAAATTCAAAGGAGGAGGCCTGGGTGCGGTGGCGCATGCCTGTAATCCCAGCGGTATGGGAGGCTGAGATGGGCAGATCACCTGAGATCAGGAGTTCAAGACCATCCTGACCAACATGGAGAAACTCCGTCTCTACTAACAATACAAAACCAGCCAGGTGTGGTGGCACATGCCTGTAATCCCAACTACTCAGGAGGCTGAGGCAGGAGAATCGCTTGAACCCAGGAGGCAGAGGTTGCAGTGAGCTGAGATCACACCACTGCACTCCAGCCTGGGCAACAAGAGTGAGATTTCATCTCCAAAAAAAAAAAAAAAAAAAAAAAAAAAAAAAAAAAAAAAAAAAAAAAAAATTCAAAGGAGGAAGGTATAGGATATCATAATAATGGTAATTGTAGTAGTTTTAAACTGAAAGTAAAAGTCTGCACTTTATAAAATTAATAAAACATAAAAACCCCTTTAGCTAATAGAAAATTATAGGACCAAAAACATCAGATTACAAATAACAGTCTATAAGAGAAAATGAATCCTACTATATAGTGTTTTTATGTTGTACAGTCCAAATAATTGCCTTTCTATTTAACTATTTGTGTTATTTTTCACTATATGCCAATAACTATAAGTTAATCTTCTTATTAGTATTTCTGACTCGAGTGACTGTTACCATTCTAGAATAGTCAGGTTTTTTTAAAAACAAAAAACAAAAACAAAAAAACTACTGTACCTTCTGAAATTATCAACTGCATGTACATTTGCCCCATTTTTTACCAAAAATTCCACCATTTGCTGTTTCTTGCAAATTACAGCTAGCAAAAGAGGTGTGTTTCCCTCCTGTGAGAAAGCAAAAACAATTTATAATTCATAAAATTACATAGTTCTCAACTGAACTAAAAATCTTCTGTAAGATGCTATGAACTTAAACATACAATATACAAAGAAAGTAAATGCAAAGCCATCACATCCTTCTCCCTCCTCTGTGCTTTTCCACACACTGTCTTGCAAACATCCCTCTTCTGTCTCCCACATTAACTTCAGTCATCTCCAAAACTCACCTTACCAGGCCCCAAAATCATTGTTTCTATCACAGCATTTAACACAGTATATATTGTAATTATTTCATTGCTTCCCACTGAAAACCAAGAGCTTCTTGAGAGCAAGGGCTGTATCTTTCTTTTCTCTCTATATAACCCTAAAACCGAAGACATAGTAACAAATGCTTCAAATTTAAAAAATAAATGATCTAAATCATTGTCTCTAGAGCAATGTTTCTTAAACTGTGTTCCAAAGAATATTTGTTTTACCAGAAGTACTATACCCCAACAGAAGGATTCCATGATCATGTGCATTTGAGAAGTATTACAAAACTGTATTGTGTGTCTAACAATCAAGAAATCTCCTGAACTTTGCCTGATCCCAATTTGACCATACTTTTTGTGCCAAACGATCACATTTTAGAAACTAGAGTTTCAGGGATACAGTTGCCAGAGATTCCTAATACAGATGGAGGTTTCCTCTGGGTATCCCAAACTTGCTTGATTCACTTCTATTAATGGTGACAGGATCCCAGATGCCAATGTTAGGCACTCCTCATTCAAGTGGGTGACTAAGGAAATGAGCTCTGAAATAAGAGAAATTGGTTTCAAGTGCACTTATTTTTCTTTTTAATAAATATAGTTCATGGGTTTTCTCCTAACACAAGAGGATACATTTTCATCTTAACTGACAGAAAGCTCAATATGGTCTGTGTAATAGAGGCAGGTTTAAACATTTTGAAAATAAGGCTGGGTGCAGTGGCTCACGCCTGTAATGCCAGCACTTTGGGAGGCCAAGGCAGGTGGATCACCTGAGGTTGGGAGTTCAAGACCAGCCTGACCAACATAGTGAAACCCCGTCTCTACTAAAAATACAAACATTAGACAGACATGGTGCTACATGCCTGTAGTCCCAGCTACTTGAGAGGCTGAGGCAGGAGAATCACTTAAACCTGGGAGGTGGAGGCTGCAGTGAGCTGAGATTTCACTATTGCACCCCATCCTGGGCAATAGGAACAAAACTCTATCTCAAAAAAAAAATTAATTAAAAATAAATATCAAAAAAGCAAAGCTCAGTAAGAAATTTTATTCTCAATTATAATGATAATCCTAGGATCCTAATGCAATTTTACTTTGTAAATCCATTTGTATTGGTTTCCATTTAAATTGCCATTTAACATTTTATTTTTTAGTTTAGGCAAAATATAAATCAGAAATAGAAATACGATAGCTTACCAATAAAAGTTCTAATACCAACTCATATGGCTTATTTTTAGGATAATAAAAGCCAGTAAGCGACTTGCATTTTTAAGAGACATTGCTGAGAAGAAAGATATAATGTCTGCAATATTCATAAACTATCCAACTCTTACCAGGAATAACCTAAAAAGGTTTCTAGGCATTCTTGTGAGCAGATGACTATTTGTGATATATATATATATAAAGGGTTATAAAACTTCTGAATTCTAAAATTCAACCCCATAATTGAGAAATTTATATAAACTATAGATTATATATTATAAACAAATATACACTGTCTTGCAAACCTTGAAATCTTTAAGAAAATAGGCCGGGCGCGGTGGCTCAAGCCTGTAATCCCAGCACTTTGAGAGGCCGAGGTGGGTGGATCACGAGGTCAAGAGATCGAGACCATCCTGGTCAACAAGGTGAAACCCTGTCTCTACTTAAAAAAAAAAACAAAAAACAAAAAAACAAAAAAAAATTAGCTAGGCATGGTGCGTGCCTGTAATCCCAGCTGCTCAGGAGGCTGAGGCAGGAGAATTGCCTGAACCCAGGAGGCGGAGGTTGCAGTGAGCCGAGATCACGCCATTGCACTCCAGCCTGGGTAACAAGAGCGAAACTTTGTCTCAAAAAAAAAAGGAAATCTTAAAGAAAATACACCATAAAACAGGAGCTGTAAACTCAAATACTTCTAAGGATGAAGGAGGTTACATAAGTAAGTGAAGGACTTAGGTGGGCATAGTAGCAAACAGGAGAATATGTGCCTCCTCTACAGGGATAATCTCTGGACAGCAGACCAAACAGTGACATGGCTTATGGGACTTCAGATTTGATTCTTAAGACAAGCCTGAAGTCCAGATTTCTGCATGAGTCTCCTAAACTTTATATGTTTACTCAATTTAAGGAATCAAAGAAACAAATCTATGTGCCATGTTTATACTATAGCCCTTGTGTTTTCATATTTGTTATGAATGTGTTACTAAATGATTGTGTATAAACCAAGTATTTGCAAGTGCAGCTTTTTCTTTCTCTAGCATTATACATTTTACCAAAAAAATCAGGCCCTGATATGTATGTATGTATATGTCTAAATAATAAAAATAAAAATAAATAATAAAAATAATCCTAGCACTTTGGGAGGCTGAGGTGGGTGGATCACCTGAGGTCAGGAGTTCAAGACCAGCCTGGCCATCATGGTGAAACCTCATCTTAAAAAAAAAAAAAAAAGACTCATAATACGCACCTCAAGGATTTTCCCAACATTTATTTATTCACATTCTGTTCGTATATCATATTCCCAGATTGTTAACCAAACAGAAAATTTGTTCATGAGACTGCTGAAACTAACTTATTAAAAGAATTCCTGTTGTATTCTCAATGACTTCATGAATTTCAATGTTTAAAACTGACATTCTGATTACGCCAAAGCTCTGTACACTTAACAGATATACTGAGATAGTCCATATTAAAACTTCAACTGAAAAAAAGGGTTAGGATTTGCTACAAATCTAATTGAGAAAACCTCACTTGTAATGAAGATTTTTTGACGCATAACCACCTGAACCGTGACAAAGAAACATGAAATTGTGAAAGGATCAGCCTCTACTTATTGAAAGATCACCCACAAGCAAATTCCTAAAGATTCTCTGAATGGTAGTAAATGATTCATGGTGAGAACAAAACGGTGATAAGCTGACAGAGATATTACCAATAATATTTTCTTTCAATTCCCAGTCACAGATGTAGAGAAAGATAGATAAGTTAGGCTGATTATTATTGGAAAGGGGAACTTTGAAGGAAGTAATCCCTATCAAATGCCAACTTTTAGAGATTTCTTATGGTTTTAAGATATGAATAATTTATACACTGCACTCATCTGTTCTGTGATACTTAATTAGGAGTGTATTCAAACCTAGACATATTTTTTTGCTGTTGTTGTTTTAGACAAGAGTCTCACAATGTTGCGCAGGCTGGACCCAAAGTCCTAGCGTCAACCAATCAATCCTCTCAGCTCAGACTCCTAAGTAGCTGGGACTGGAAACATGCAACTGTGAATGACTTCAAATAATATTTTTAACCATATATGTTCAGGCCTTATTAGAGCTATTACATCAAAATCTTCAAGAGAAAGCTTATACTTGTAGAGTTTCTACAAAATTTCCCTAGGTCCCTGTAATGCACAATTCTAGCTGAGAATTAGTAGTGCAGCTGACAATCACTTCGGTTTCATTGCTCACCCGAACAGTCAAAACCCTGTATCAGTTTGGGATGTGGCCAAAAAGAGAAAAGAGTAAGACTCTTTTATTAAAATTCCAGTTAATTTTCCTGGGTATGGGTAGAACAGGGACACGTAAACTCAAAATCCCACTTGATTTTGCTATTTATAAGCTCCTTAATTCCCACCTTCCCACCAAGACATTCCAAATTTGAAAGGAGACCAATTCTTTTCCAAGTGGCTGTTTCTGCCAGGATGGGTAATAAGTCAATTACTAATTTGTTCCACCCTTTGCTGAAGTTTTTCTCACTTTGTCACCACCTATTCACTGTCATTCTGGTTTCCTCTGAGTCCTCTAAAAATTGATCTTTAGGCAAGTTTCAGTCACAGTCTTTACCAAACCAAAACTGATTACCCAAAAGCTGAAGAGAGCTTTGTCTCAATACATAAACTAGAAAAACAACAAACTAAAAAACAAAACCTCTGCTTTATATTTTCCTCTCCTTACCTAATTTCCAAGTGACCTGTATGTTTCTGATTGCTCTCCTTTCCCTTCCCATTTTTACCTCTTTTTTTTTTTTTTGAGACGGAGTTTTGCTCTTGTTACCCAGGCTGGAGTGCAACGGCATGATCTCGGCTCACCGCAACCTCCGCCTCCTGGGTTCAGGCAATTCTCCTGCCTCAGCCTCCTGAGTAGCTGGGATTACAGGCACTCGCCACCATGCCCAGCTAATGTTTTGTATTTTTAGTAGAGACGGGGTTTCACCATGTTGACCAGGATGGCCTCGATCTCTTGACCTCGTGATCCACCCGCCTCGGTCTCCCAAAGTGCTGGTATTACAGGCTTGAGCCACCGCGCCCGGCCCCATTTTTACCTCTTTAGCCTTGCCACTAAAAGATACATCAGTTGTTTTTTTTTTTAAAAGAAAATTGTCAGCAGCAGCAACATTTCCATTTATTGTAAGTTGCTTTAGTTTTGTTTTGAGCTTTAAAATAAAGCCAGTTTCCAGGGTAAATTTTTTTTCCTGTGTTTTCTTACACTAATTAGAAAAATAAAACAATCCTGGAGCAGGAAACAAATATTTGAAAAGGAAAAGTTTTACCTTTGACAAATTCACAAATATTTCCCATAAATACACTAAAAAAGCTTCTTTAGAAGTATCAATATTTAAAGTAAAATCTTACACAATTATTTCAAAATATTTTCTTTTTTTGAATTGTACTTTAGGGTCTGGGGTACATGTGCAGATCATGCAGGATTGTTGCATAGGTACACACATGGCAATGTGGTTTTCTGCCTCCATCCCCTCCGTCACCTGCATCTGGCATTTCTCCCCATGTTACCCCTCCCTGACGTCCCCACCCCCTCGCTGTCCCTCCCTCGACTCCCTCAACAGACCCCAGTGTGTGATGCCCCTCTCCCTGTGTCCATGTGTTCTCATTGTTCATCAGCCGCCTATGAGTGAGAACATGCGGTGTTTTCTGTTCTTGTGTCAGTTTGCTGAGAATTATTGTTTCCAGATTCATTCATGTCCCTACAAGGACATGAACTCATCATTTTTTATGGGTGCATAGTATTCCATGGTGTATATGTGCCACATTTTCCTTATCCAGTCTATCGTTGATGGGCATTTGGGTTGGTTCCAAGTCTTTGCTATTGTAAACAGTGCCGTAATGAACATACATGTGCATGTGTCTTTATAATAGAATGATTTGTAATCCTTTGGGTATAGACTCAGTAATGGGATTGCCAGGTCAAATGGAATTTCTATTTCTAGGTCCTTGAAGAAGTGCCACACCATCTTCCACCATGGTTGAACTAGTTTACACTCCCACCAACAGTGTAAAAGTGTTCCTATTTCTCCAAATCCTCTCCAGCATCTGTTGTCTCCAGATTTTTTAATGATTCTAACTGGCGTGAGGTGGTATCTCAATGTGGTTTTGATTTGCATTTCTCTAATAATCAGTGATGAGGCTGGGCGCGGTGGCTCAAGCCTGTAATCCCAGCACTTTGGGAGGCCGAGGCGGGTGGATCACAAGGTCGAGAGATCGAGACCAACCTGGTCAACATGGTGAAACCCCATCTATACTAAAAATACAAAAAATTAGCTGGGCATGGTGGCGTGTGCCTATAATCCCAGCTATTCAGGAGGCTGAGGCAGGAGAACTGCCTGAACCCAGGAGGCGGAGGTTGCGGTGAGCCGATATCACACCATTGCACTCCAGCCTGGGTAACAAGAGCGAAACTCCGTCTCAAAACAACAACAACAACAACAAACAAACAAACAAACAAACAAAAAATCAGTGATGATGAGCATTATTTCATATGTTTCTTGGCCTCATATATGTCTTCTTTTATTTCAAAATATTTTCATTCAGGGAGTGCTTCAGCTTCTAAACATGAAAAATTAATCCTTACCTATATCAATGTTAAAACAAATATTTCGAAAAGAAAGTTGATTGAGCTATACCTTGTTTATTGCTTCAATATTTGCACGGTGGGAAAGAAGTTTTTCTGCCAGTGAAGTCCCCTTATTATATATAGCATAATGAAGGGCAGTGTTGCCGTAGACATCTTGAATGCTTGGATTGGCACCGTGTTTCAGCAGAGAAATGGAACAATTCTCCTCCTGGCCGTGTACAGCCTATCAGTGTTAAATAAAAAACAAGACTGTAAATTCTAAGAATTCAAAATACATATTCCACAGGTTTTACCAACTAGTTATATTTAAATGAGATAAATTCATTTTATTTCTATGTATTTAAATCAAATCCATTTTATGCTGAAAGAGTTGTCTACTACATACCTTCATTAAAGGTGTCCTGTTAAGTCTGTCACCGATGTCAATCTGGCATTGTCTGCTCACTAACAGACTGACAACTTCCACATGGCCATAAGCACAGGCCAAATGCAGAGCAGTCCTGTGAGAGTAAGAGGAGTTTTCAGGAAATTGCAATGCCATATCCCAAGACCTACAATGGTTCATGTCATTGTAAACATTGAATAGCATGTTATTCCTCTGCCTTCAAAACAAATAATTTTTTTTGGAAGAAAGTACAATATTTATTAGCTCTTACTGCTCACTACCTTAATGAAGACAGCAGCCTATTTGGATAGAATGAGCTTGGTCTTTGGATTCCGTTCAACTAGGGCTTGAGTTCTACTTTGAGCTCTGTCACTTACCAGCTATTACTTAGGCTTTCCGTGCCTCAGTTTCCTCATTAATAAAATAAAGATGACAATAGCAGCTAGCTCACAGGACACCATTGCGATGCTTAAATGTGAACCTATGTAAACTATTTAGAACTGTTTTTAGAACAAGCAACAACTGAGTAATTGCTAGATTTGAGTTTTTTGAGAAAGGGTCCCACTCTGTTGCCCAGGCTGCAGTGCAATGGTGTATTTATACCTCGCTGCAGCCTGGAACTCTCAGGCTCAAGCAATCCTCCTGCCCTAGCATCCTGAGTAGCTGGGACCACAGGAGGGCACCAGCATGCTCCACTAATTTTTAAATGTTTTTTGGTAGAGTAGGAATCTCACTTTGTTTCCCAGGGTGGTCTCAAACTCCTGGCATCAAGGGAACCTCCCACCTCAGCCTTCCAAAGTTCTGGAATGACAGCTGTGAGCCACTGCACTCAGCCAGATGTTATAATTATTACTATTACTAGTACTTAAAAGTTTTTTTTCATTAAGTAAAATGACACAATTATTCCTATTTTGCAAAATGATTTAAAGATTAGGTCACATCTTAACATACCTGATATTGGAATGGCATTTGTAATTCATAACTTTTTATACCTGTAATTGGTAGCATTTAAAAAGTATCTTATTAATATAGAAAATAATATGGTATCACAATATCTGTGAGGCCTTACATTAAGTCAAATACAGTATACACTGCAGGCCTAGAGCTATTTTAGGTATCTAACTGATACTTAAATTTTAGTTCTTAAAGGAACCATGGGAAAAGAGCACTGAAATAACATGCTTTTTAAACAAATTATTTCTCACTTTGAGTTTTGAAAAATGTGAAGCCAAAAGAAACTCATGATTGAAATAAACAGGTATGGATCATTTTAGTCAACACTTAGATTTACAGAATACAGGCAAGTCAGACTTTCTAATGACTAATATTAGTATTTAAGACTGATAGATTTTCAAAACTGTAAGGAGTTAAAGGTTATCTTTCACTATTTTTTACCTTCAGAAATGCTTTTGTTTGAAAGCTGGAAGGAAAAGCTTCAATGCGATTAAGCCCTAATATTTCCATTTAACATCTCTCATCTTGCTCTGGCAGAGCAGGTAAACATAAAGTTTTTAAGAACGGAAGGGTCCTGAGAGATAGTACAATCTGTCTGCTACGTAACAGGTATTCAGGTTATGTCTGATGAATAAATGGACTGAAAGAATTGATACAGTTGGGGAGTTCAATATTTTAAAATATAACTTCTATAATCCAATATTTTCGTGATAGTAATTTTATTTGTGATTGATTATTTTTATAAGACTACAACTAAAACAAAATGATTAATCTATCATTGTTTGCATATATGTAATGAATCTATACATAAGAAAAACATATGTACATAACAAAATGTATATGTAATAAGATCTGCAAGCACAGATCAAAAGATTCCCGTTTTACTTCTGAAGAAGCTAAAACTTCAAAAAAGATAACAACCCACACCGTAATGATGAAAAATGGACAATTAGAAATTATTTTTATCTCCACAGGATTTATGTTTTTCTCATCTCCAAATTATTTCATTAATAATAAATTTTGACTAGAATTGTTATAGTCACTGAAGAAATTACAGGTTAAAAAAGGAACAAAAACTTAAAATATAAGTGCTCAGAAGTTACACATTTTATCCTATTTTGTACAAAGTTTTGGCTAACAGAACACCATAGGATGTTAGTGTGTATGTGCAAGCAAACATTGTTTTTCCTCACTGGCTGTAACAAAATACATCTTCACACAGCAAGGTATCGCTATACTTACTGCCATCTTCAGTGGTCACCTATTCATTCTATGGGTTCTTGTTAACATAAATGCTAAGAAAAACAAAATGCATGTATCTCTACTTTCTAAACGCATTTTAATATAATGGAATTGATGAGTAAAGGGCGTATGCATTTTTCAATTTGGTGTAATTACCACCAAATTGTCTCCTTGAAAAGTTATCAGCAACTTAAACTTTAAGCAGCAGTATAAGTACCACTGCTCTTTATTCTCACAAACACTGTGGATAGAAAACAGTCTCATTCCTCTTTTAACTTAAATTCTCTTACAAGAAACACTAAGGATTTTTTCCTATGTAAGTTAACTTGTGGATCTGCAAAAAAGCACTTTGCTCACTTTTAGAGTTCTTTTCTTGTGGATTTGATTTGAAACAATTCCATGTAAAATAAACGTGGTTTTTTTTGTGGTTTTTTTTGTTTTTGTTTTTGTTTTTGTTTTTGTTTTGAGACGGAGTTTCGCTCTTGTTACCCAGGCTGGAGTGCAATGGCGCGATCTCAGCTCACCGCAACCTCCGCCTCCTGGGTTCAGGCAATTCTCCTGCCTCAGCCTCCTGAGTAGCTGGGATTACAGGCACACGCCACCATGCCCAGCTGATTTTTTGTATTTTTAGTAGAGACGGGGTTTCACCATGTTGACCAGGATGGTCTCGATCTCTTGAACTCGTGATCCACCCGCCTCAGCCTCCCAAAGTGCTGGGATTACAGGCTTGAGCCACCGCGCCCGGCTAAGATGTGGTTTTTATTTATCATTTGGTTTAAGGAAAACTGATAAACATAGAGCTCACATTTTAGGAAAGTGAGTCTTTCCATTCAAGGAACCCACCTCCCACTTCCGAGTTTCCCTCTAAGAAGTCCCAGGAAAGAACCCATCTATCTATCTACAACGATTCGGATGTAAAACGGACACCGGGTTTTTAAGCTGAGAACGTTTCCCCTACTGAAAATGACTCACGGTATTTTTGACAAGGGAATGAGTTCTCATTAGGCACTTTCCTGTCACGTATATGACAGCATGTCTTAAACATGCATATGCTCAAGTGCGTGAGTTAAACTCACTCAAATTTTGCACCAGGTTCTCCAGGCGGGGATTCCCAGCGATGGAAAGCAGCTGAGGCTCGCTTTGGCTCCGCTGCTTTGAGGCTGCCCGGCGCCCCCCAAGACCCGGTCCCAGGGGCTGCAGGGAAGCCGGGCCCGGGGATCCCCCTCTGACCCCGGGCTGAGCCCCAGCTACAAGCCCCCGCTACCTGTCCTTCCTGTCGCGGGCGTCCACATCCCGGCTCCTGCCCCTCAGGCAGCGCTCCACCGCCGCAGCATCGCCCCGGAAGGCCGCCCTGTGCATCTTCCGCAGCTCCCAGTCCCGGACGTGGTACCCGGGACCGGAGTACTCGTCGTCGGTGGAGCCCCGGAACGCCTGGCCCAGGCGTCCCCCGAAGCTGAAGAGCTTCCTCATGGTGGCGACTTCTCCTCAGAAGCCCACCACCGGCTCCTGAGCCGCCGGGCTCCTCGTGGCCTTTCCACCCTCACCCAGACCCAAGTCTGCGATCCACCCCACACCAGGGATCCGCCCCAAACCGCAATCGACCCCCAAACCCGCGCCAGATTCATGAAAATCCGTATGCGCCCAAGATGTTCCATACGGTCAATGTCACCGTACAGGAGAAAGGTCTGCTTACGAGCAGCTTGTGAGACTCGCAAACTCCTGAGGACGCCGGGAAGCCGCTCCCACAGCAAATCACTAATACTACTTACATATTGCGAACGCGGCCTGCAGATCCGGTAAGGCCTTTTTAAGGACGCCGCTGGGCTGCGACTACTGGTGTGTCTTCTAGCCGGGTCTCGACGTCAGACAGAAAGCAGGGATCCTGAACGGTACCGAACCTTAGCGAGATGTAAGCAAGGGTGAATGGTATGAAAAGGCGTCACGCGCGAAGGGCAGTATTAACACCGAATATCTCCTCGCTACTGCGGCTCAGGCCATACAATCATTCAGCCTATTACTAACTAACTGTCTTAAAAGTTTTGTGTACTCCTTCCCGCCGCGGTACACTCAGTGGCCTAAAAGCCGTAGCTAGTGCGCACAATGCCTGTGGGACACGTACTCGACATGAACTTGGAAAGACTCTTTCATTTGATATAAGAACAGCGTTTTTGACTTACTGCCGTACTCATAATACCAGCATGCCTGCATGGGATGTGAGAAAAAACCAGATCACTTAGGCCATGATCACAGGTGAAAAACACTACTTGGATCAAGAAAGTTTAGATACTGCATACGGTCAGCGTCCTGTAACGAATCATGCCCAATTCCATCAACCACGACGCTATGGGCAAGTGTGTGATCATGGGTGGCTCGTGGAGATTCTTACCAGAATAATAGGGAGCCACTTTGACCCCAATGCTCCGTGCGCGGGTCTGCAGGCAGCCCGCTGCGCTTCGCGGGACCAGCCCAGGCAGAGAGCTCTGACCCCTCCTCGCAGCCCTGCCCCCCACGCCGGAGGGTGGGCAGAGGGGGCGTTTTGCCCCCGAAACACCGGGCCGGGTCCCCGGGCGGGCCCGCTCTCCGTTCCGCGGCACGCCTCTTCTTCTGCCTCCCCGCTCCGCCCACCGATCACCCGCACGCACACCGCACACCGGAGCCCCGCCGGCCTGCCCGCCGGCACCGAGGCCAGCACCGAGCAGCGCCTGGCAGCTCGATGCACAGCCCAGAACACACACACACACCACGCGAGCCCGCGCGCGCACACACAGACACACACAGACACGCACGCACGCACGCGCGCACACACACACAGACACGCGCGCGCGCGCGCACACACACACACACACACACACACACACCCCAACCCCCCGTACCCCGCGGGCAAACGGAAGGGCCGCTTTCTCCAGGCGGGAGGGAAGGCGGGTAGAGACCCGGCGACGATCCCGGACACTGAGGGAGGGACGAGTGAAGGGAGGAAAGGACGGAAGGGAGAGGGCGAGGACGGGACGGAGGTGGGGACGGAGGGTGGCAGGTAGGGTGGGACCCAGCACCTAGGTCGCGTGACACTGTCCTCCTGCCTTGGCACTCTCTGCTTGGGGCTTTGGGACATACGTCTGCGCTGGTAACTAAGATGCTGTGATTCTCTTGTCTTGCCTCATATCTGCTCACATAGGAGCCAATCACATACTGCTGGGCCCAGTATCAAGTTCCGTTCATTTTCTGTCATGACCCTCTGTCTCTGGGAGCTCAGCCACTCCAAATGATTGTCTTGTTATACCTGCTCTTTGCCCACAGGAGAGGATGTGACATTGCTCTGGGCCCAGCACCCAGGTGCGGTCACTCTGCTCTCCCGACGGGGCTATGCTTACAAGAGAAAGAGTGACTGATCGCTGGGCCCAGCACACAGGTGATGCGATTTGATTTGATTGTCTGGATTCTTGCCCGCGGGCATGATCCTGACCTCCCTTTGGCCTCTTCTGCCAGACAATGTGGGTCTCAACGGTCCCTGGGGTTTCCGGCTGGAGAGGGCGGGCTACCCCCGCCCTTGGTCCCCCGGAGCTGAGGCATACTGAGGAAGGGGCGGGGGCGCTGGGTCTCTATATAAGAGCGGCCGCTGGCTGGCGGCGGCCGGACTCCTGGCTCGACCTGCCAGCGGCGCGGTGCAGGTGCAGCTGCAGTGCAGGGCTTGGCTGAGGCGCGCTCGCGAGCCGGCCGGCCCCCGCGTGCCTGCGTCTGCCTGTGACGCTCGGGCCCGGTCTCCCCGCGATGGCTCTCCCCACGGCTCCCGGCAGCCCTCTCCCCGCGGTCGCCCGAGGGCGAGGACGGCGAAAGAGGCTCGTTTGGACCCCGAGCCAAAGCGATGCCCTGCGAGCGTCCTTTGAGCGGAACCCGTACCCGGGCATGGCCACCAGAGAACAGCTGGCCCAGGCCATCGGCATTCCGGAGCCCAGGGTCCAGATCTGGTTTCAGAATGAGAGATCGCGCCGCCTCAGGCAGCACCGGCGGGAATCCAGGCCCTGGCCGGGGCCACGCGGCCCCCAAGAAGGCCGGCGAAAGCGGACCGCCATCACCCCAGCGCAGAGCGCCGTGCTCCTCCGAGCCTTCGAGCAAGAGCGCTTTCCGGACTTCGCCACCAGGGAGGAACTGGCCAGAGAGACGGGCCTCCCGGAGTCCAGGATTCAGATCTGGTTTCAGAATAGCAGGGCCAGACGTCCAGACCGAGCCGGCGGGGGACCCGCGCCCGCAGGCGGCCTGTGCAACGCGGCCCCCGGCGGGCGCCGCTCTCCTGGCTCCCGGGTCGCCCCCACCCACACCGGGGCGTGGGGGGCGGCGCTTCCCGCACCCCACGTGCCCCTTGCGCCTGGGGCTCTCCCACAGGGCCCCGTCGCGAGCCAGGCAGCAGGGGCCGTGCCCCTGCTCTGGCAAGGGCAGGCCGCACAGGCGGAAGGAACCTGGCAACCTGCCCCGGCACTCGGGGCTTTCGGGTTCGCCGCCCTGGCTCCCGGGGAAGCGGCGCTCCCCCACCCTCAGAGCCTTGGGGGCCCTCCGCACCCGAGCGGATGCCAGGAGGAGCGGGACCGGCAGCACGCCGGCCTGCCCGGGACGTGCCCCGTGGGACAGCTTGCGCCCGCTCCAGCCGACTCCCGGGGGCAAGGGGCGCTCGTGCCACACGGGGCCCACCAGGGTCCTTGGTGGGGCTGGGGCCAGGGGCCCCAGGTGGCCTGGGCGACGGGGCAACCCCAAGCCGGGCCACCTCCACCTCCACCTCCACCTCCGCAGCCCGAACCTCCGGAGGCCTCCGCCTGGCAGGGGCACATGCCAGGGCTGCAGGCGCCTTCCCAGGCGCCCCAGGAGCCGGAGGAGCGCTCGTCTGCGCTCACCTCCAGCCTGCTGGATGAGCTCCTGTCGACCCCAGACTTTGAGCAAAGGGCGCGACCTTTCCTAGAGACCGAGCCACCGGCGGAGCTGAGGGAGGTGGAAGAGCTCGCTTCGCTGGAACCGCCCCTCAGCGAGGAAGAATACCGGGCGCTGCTGGAGGAGCTTTAGAAGGCTCCTCCCACAGGGCTCCGTCACGAGTTCAATTGATTCTCCTGCCTTAGCCTCCCGAGTAGCTGGGATTACAGGCGCCAGCCATCCTGCCTCACTGATTTTTTATTTTTATAAGAGATAGAGTTTTGCCACGTTAGCCAGGTTGGTCTCAAGCTCCTGACCTCAGCAGGTCCACCCGCCTTGGTATACCAAAGTGCTTGAGTCATAGCTGTGAGCCACCGTGGCTTGCCTGTAATACTGCCTTTTAACATCTATAAGACGACCAAAGGAAATGAGAAATTTACTATCAGAAGTCTTACCTCGATTGTTGTTTCTCAGACGATTTTTAAGTATCTTATTTTTATGTTCTGAAATTTGTTGTTGAATGCTACAAGCATAATAAACATAATACATAAAATTACTATTTTAATCATAATATAAAAATATTTAGCAAACATATGAAATTTTAAAGCTTTTCAGACAATATCAGAGCTAATATCAGCGGCGTGTCTTGCCCTCCCGCTGCCCTGTCGGGGATCCCTGAGTTCCAGGTCCGCCCGGTGAGAGACTACACACAGGGCAGGGCTGTGCTGTCATTCTTTCCCGAGCATCTCGGGGACCCGGGAGCCCGCCCAGGGCCCGGGACGTGGACGGTCTACTGCGCGTGCGCGGGTCTGCAGGCAGCCCGCTGCGCTTCGCGGGACCAGCCCAGGCAGAGAGCTCTGACCCCTCCTCGCAGCCCTGCCCCCCACGCCGGAGGGTGGGCAGAGGGGGCGTTTTGCCCCCGAAACACCGGGCCGGGTCCCCGGGCGGGCCCGCTCTCCGTTCCGCGGCACGCCTCTTCTTCTGCCTCCCCGCTCCGCCCACCGATCACCCGCACGCACACCGCACACCGGAGCCCCGCCGGCCTGCCCGCCGGCACCGAGGCCAGCACCGAGCAGCGCCTGGCAGCTCGATGCACAGCCCAGAACACACACACACACCACGCGAGCCCGCGCGCGCACACACAGACACACACAGACACGCACGCACGCACGCGCGCACACACACACAGACACGCGCGCGCGCGCGCACACACACACACACACACACACACACACCCCAACCCCCCGTACCCCGCGGGCAAACGGAAGGGCCGCTTTCTCCAGGCGGGAGGGAAGGCGGGTAGAGACCCGGCGACGATCCCGGACACTGAGGGAGGGACGAGTGAAGGGAGGAAAGGACGGAAGGGAGAGGGCGAGGACGGGACGGAGGTGGGGACGGAGGGTGGCAGGTAGGGTGGGACCCAGCACCTAGGTCGCGTGACACTGTCCTCCTGCCTTGGCACTCTCTGCTTGGGGCTTTGGGACATACGTCTGCGCTGGTAACTAAGATGCTGTGATTCTCTTGTCTTGCCTCATATCTGCTCACATAGGAGCCAATCACATACTGCTGGGCCCAGT